CGCAGATCCAGCAGAGTATAGCTGTCATCTTACAGTTTCCTTTTATAACGAATGGGAACAAAATGCAGCGGTGGAGGGAAATTGAGGGCAACATACAGATGATTTTGGCCCCGGGTTATGCGTGCGGTGGAGGGAGCTCATTGCGTCTCGTTGTGGTTAGTTAGTTATGTGGTGCAGGCAGAGAGTACTGCTGTTTATAGCAGCTAAAACAGAGGCAAAATGCAGAGCTGGCCCTATTCGATCACGTAAAAACACACTTGAGAACGTCTGAGGGGCATTTTGTGTCTGCATGTACGCATGCACCCCGAACAAAACCTGTCATTATACCCACACGCACACAAACACAACCAAACACACACAAACACACACACACACTGTAATTACATACAGTGACGCACCACTGCCCGCCATACTGTGAATTCACACGAATAATATCATATATTAAACATGCAGAGGCACAGAGCGGGATTACTCAATACTGTCTGAGGCTGGGACAAACACGGACGATGCACACACCGGCTCCAAAACTGAAAAGTAAGCACGCTAGCCTCTGCTGGAGGGTGCTGTGTGTATAGGGGACTTGTAATAGGGGCCCCTCGGGTGGGCTCTGGGGGTTGGGTGTGTGTTTATTTAAGTGTGTGGATGTGTGTGTGAGTTTTTCGGGGGAATTCAGGGGGCTTGCCTAAAGATAAAAATGGAGTTTGAGATGAAAGGAAAATAGGGCACGGACGGGGATATACTTGCTTTGAGTTTGTTGGGACGGAATAAGGCGGAGAGGGTGGGGCTGACAGAGGGGGGGGAGAAGGAGGAGGGGGAGTCAGAGGAGCAGAGTGTTGTTTAGATGTTGGTTTTTAGGGTTGTTTATACAGCGTTACATAACACCTTTGCTTGTCTAGAAAAGAGCTCTTTTACATGTTACAGTGTGTGTGTGTGTGTTGTGTGCTCTATTCCAAGGATCAGTTTTACAATGAAGTCCGTTGCTAAGGGCAACCTTAGTCCTGCACAGAAATTCCCAGATCCCAGTTAGAATCTACCAAACTCACACACACACACGTGCACACGCACGCACACACACACACACACACACACACACCGTGCTTGCAGCAAAACGCCTTTTCAATACTTTTGGCTACTTTCAGGGTTCGACTTAACCAGGCCTTCACTCAACCATTTATTTACACACACGTTTACACTCAAAGTGGGAAGCACAAACACACACACATTCAGTCCTCTTTGTTCAAGCACACTGTGTCATCCTCTGTGTGTTGAGGCTCCAAACAACTTCAAGTGAATTTGATTTTCAGGAGGTAGATCTAGCGTTTCAGCCTCACCTCACGCTGAGACGAGATGGACAGCGATGCTCAGGTTTCTAGATTCCATTATGCTTTTATTGGCTTTTAAAGGCATCGGGTTTCCACTGTCTGGAGCCGGGGAGGAGCTTCTCTGCCTCTCTGTGTGTGTTTGCGTTCATGTGTCACAATTAGCATCAAACAGGCTAGCAAAGGCAGCGCCTTGTAGGGCTTCAGGGTGGGCTTACGATTGCTGAGAAGATACGTTCGTTTTGTCCTCAATTTCAGCAGTGGATTGACTCTTTGCCAATACCTGGAGCCAAACCTAGCCCTTTGTTCTTGGCATCCCAACAGTTCACTTCCTACTGTGGACTGAGTTAAATCTGGGTTAAAAATTGAGTGCTAGAAGAAGAATCCAGCTTGTAAATGTTTGAATAAAACGAGTGAATACAAACAGTAAAAAATTAACACACTTATCAAAGTTCTGCATTCAATATGTAACTTTAGTCTAACGGCAGCAAAAATGATCAGTGAAAAGGCTCAAATCAAATGATTCTTTCTGCAGCTCCAAGGTCACAGATAATGTCGGTGTTTGTAAGTATGGGGCTCAGTTTGGAGAGTATCATCATTATTTGGTTGGAAGACATGACGTCTTGTGTTTGATTAGAAAGAAACTGAGGCTTAGACTTTGTTTTTACCATAAACATAGGGTAGGTTGGGATTATGCAAAGAACACATGTTTTGTTAATGTACTTAAGCAGAGTTTTAAGTTATCTGTACTTACTTGAGTGTGTTAGCAATTTTTTACCTTCATTTCTTAAGTTAAATACAGTATATTTTTTCCCGAGACCTTAACCTCCAAAACAGGTTTGATCAGTTAATCTTTTTAATGGTTTAAGAAGAGTTATTGCATTTTTTTCAATTATTGTGCATGCTGTCTACTCAACATTTCATCCCATTTCATCTTAAATGCCTAGGACAATTTCACATAGAAAAGACAACTACTTGGTGTATCCATCAGAAATACAGTCAACATAAGTCATGTTAAACAACATAAATGTCGTATTAGGAAAAACAGACAAGAGAAGGAACCTTGAGCAGGGAGTTCATGGCGTTTTTGATCTTTCACTATGTAGTTTATGATCTGATTTTTCTTTATTAGGTCTAAGCAGACAGTGACACATACATTTATTTCATATCTGTGTAATCTCCTATCAGTCTCCAACAGCTGTTGTCATTTGTACTCGACTCCTTGCGCATTTACAGTACCCGGGGTTTGGCTCTGAACTTAACAGAGTGGATTTTTTTTTTTTTTTTTACTGTTTAGCACCCTGTCTATAAAGTGACCTCCAAAATAAACTACAGCTTAATGACTCTGTCTCCCTCAGAGACCAGTTAAGGTTAACCGATCAGTGTTCATGGTATTCCTAAAATGGATTTTGTATTTCATCTTTGTTGACTTTTCTCTTGTATCAAATCGTTGATCTTTTGATTTTTATTTGGAAGGGGAGGAGTGTGGGGTTCTTGTAGCTCTTAAAACCTTTCTGTTTTGATTCAACAATTAGATAAGGAAATTAGTCTGAATCGGGGGTAAACCAATGGAGCGACAACATATATTTCAAAATGAGTATACATTGGTACACAGTGTGGTTTGAACTGTGGTGTGAAATGTATCTTTGCTCTCCAGTACGGGCGGTGTCTCCTAAGTGCATGCATCTGATAGCAGTATTAGTGCCTCAGTGTAATGGGTGAGTGCTTGTGTGTGTTTGAACATGGCAGAGATGTGTGACTGAAGTGAAAAGGAACAGAGAAAGATGAATGAAGAGTGAGGAGGGATCAGCCTCAGAGTGACCGTAGGCTGGGGTCAGTCGCTGCAGAGCTTGAACCCCCAAACGACTAATCTCTCTTAACCCAACCCTGACAGAGGTCACCAGGCGAGCTAATGCTTTCCCTTCACAGGCATGAATAAAACAGGCCCAGATTACAGTGCAGTGATGAGTGGAGAAGATACTGTGAAATGATCCAACAGAGATACTTACAGTCAGATTACAAAGTGCTGCTGAAAAACTCAAATATACATCTTTTTTTTTTTTTTAAATCACATTCAGTTTCACACAAGGTTGAAAATAATGATAAAAAGGATATACCAACAACAACAACCTATTATCGTGCAAGTTATTAATAGAACAATTTGAAAATGTTACCATGTGCTCTGGAAGCTGTGATATGTTTGCTTCAACTTTTGGATAAATTAAATATGAAACGTGGTACAAATAGCCAAGAAATAAAAGCTTAATGACTTTAGTGATCTTGTGCTTTTAGTGTGGCTTCAAGATGCGAGATTTATGATGTTCCCATCAGACAACTTAATGTTCAGCAAATATTGGCATGCGTATTTGGATGTCTTATATCGTGTCTTATATCACGGCCATTCCGTGTCAATTTATGTGCAATATGAAGCTATGAATTAACCAAAGTGTGTTAACAATAGCCTGTTAACACAACACTGCAGGACACAGGCAATTTCAGCTCGAGCCAAGAACAGTTGTGTCCGCAGCTTGCACTTATTGGTACTTTTATGGTGCGTTGTAGTTGATAACTACCTCGTGTGAATGCGAGTGGAGAGGGGTTGGAGGTGTGCCGCTGGAGGAGAGTGGAGGCTTCAGAATAGCGGAGGTGTCACCAAACAGCAGTTTGTTTTGGTTTCACGCTGGTGCTCAAGGGCGAAATCTACTGGATCAAATAGTCGCACGTTCTTCCTTTAAGTCGTACACATGGAAGTCTTCAAACCTGTACAACATGAGCTGGTTAGGATTGTTTTGAGCATGTAAACATGCCACAGCTAACAAACTAAAACAAATGGGTTCCCAGCCTAACTGAACTGCTGGCATTGCTGTGGACATGTGTGGGTTTTTTAAAAACAAAGAAACACTTCTGACATAAACACATTTAATTTTGATTTAATAGTATATCCATGTCCCACCTGTTTACATGGAGGCAGACTACATGACTTAAACTGTGGCCAGGCAGTGGGGGGAGCTCCCAATGATTTTTTTTCCTTTTGGGGAGCTGTCATATCATCTATCTTTTTTATAAAGTCTATAGTTAACTGGCTGGTTAACCTTTTTTTCCAGGAAACAAACTTACCCTTCACTTGTTCAAGCGTGTCAAATGTCATGTTTTTTTTTTAAGTTATATATAATTGGAAGTTCAATACAAAATAAGAAATTTAAAAATCTTACTTTTGGCTTTGGGAATTTTAAATTATTTAATTATTTTTCCAGCATTTTGTACTCTAACAATTATTATTAATGAATGAAAAAGCACATTTCACAGAGGAATTGATGATAGAATAAATGGGGCAGTTCAAAGGGAGATGCCTCTGGGTCCTCTGCTACTTAACAGGCTGAGCATCACTTGTAACGGACATGTAAGCAGAGACTGAATGAAGCCCCTCTCTCCTTTAAAGCTTTGATGTTTTCTCTGCCAAAATCCCAGCTTTAGATCAACTCATTAACTATGCTCCTCCACAGAGTCACAGACAGACAGATGTTAGCCCGTCCACACATAATGCAGCCCCCTCTCAGACAGTTGTGTGTGTGTGTGTGTGTGTGTGTGTGTAATCTGCCAAAGTGGTGTCTCTTCTAAATGAATTGACAAACAGCATGGCTCATCTCTAATCTGTCTCCCCCATCTCTATGTATCTCTCAGGGACAGACTTGGTCACCATCGATCGACGATGAAGGCTCGACGAGAGACGAGTTCTACGACGACGAGGACCTCTACTCAGGCTCTGGCTCTGGCTGTAAGTATTTGTGTGTGTGTGTGCGTGTGTGCGTGCGTGCGTGTGTGTGTGTGTAACGCCCTGGTTCTTTCAAACCCGACAGCTGCTGGATTTCAATCTGCTGACCCTGAAGACCCTAACCCCCCTCAATATCCTCGAGTTATGGCCGCTCTGCTCAACCAGATTACACACAATAAGGCTGCACACACACAATACAAACACCTTGCTCGGCTGGAAGGACAGGTTTTGATTCAGATTTATCTGAAACACCTTTGAACACAGACACACCCTTGCAAACAAGCAGCGACCCGGGCTCTATTCACCCAGATCTTATTTGCTGTAATCAGATTACAGTCCACACAGATTAGGCCATCACACGCACACCAGCAGTCCTGTGCACCTATTTACAAGCTTTCTGTCTGCATCTGAGTGAACTTGCTGTCTGCGTGAGGAGGAATTACCGTACTTAACGTAAATCACATCGGTGTAATTCAGCCTGATTTTCTGATCTGGCTGTTGAAGCTTGAACGTGGCTCTCCTTATTAAGCATGACTCATTGAGGGCTGCCCTCAGTTCAGCTAGTGTAGAGACACACTCATAATAAATTACAATTCAGAGCAGGAGAGTGCAGCAGAGGCACCCCCTGTGGTCAAAACAGCGGCCCGGCAAATTGCTTTATCTCATACGGTGATACAGAGCTGTCTGATTCAGGAGGGAGAGCTCATTTTCAACAGATGGATGTGCATTTTGCCTCTGAATGTAGCATTTTAAGGCGTCTACTAAGTTTTAACTGAAGCTGCATGGTTCAAGTCCACATTTCTATATCCACTTCAGCTCCATTGTCAGGGTTCACGTCTTTGTGCTTGTAAATTCAATTTGCTTCTCTATGCGTCACTGCTGTAACAAAATGAAAGGTGCTATAATAATGCTATTATGAGATTTAAGAAGACAATGAATCAGTGAGCACACTCATCTCTGCTCCTTTCTTCTCTTCTTCTCTTCTTCCTCGTCTCACACCGCAGTAAGCCTGGTAATTCGGAGGGGAAAATAAATGCTGCTTACATGCATGTCTTTTCACATCAATTTTGAAAAACAAAAAACAAAAGCACACACACCTGTGAAAGTGGTTTAATACAGCTGAAGTGGAGTTGAGCTCATTTACATATTTCCCATTTCTGTTGTCACAAAGCTAAATGAGCAGAAAATAAGAATTTGATTGCAGCTCTGATTGCTGCAGCGAGTCATCAATAAAATCACTACTTTAGAGGCAACAGCTATTGACAGAACAAACAAAGCGAGCGGTGTGATTGTCTGTGCTGGCATTTCAAATGACTGTCTTCTTAAAGGGCCACCCCACTGATACTACACAGAAAGTTTAGTCATGGAGAGTACACAATCAGTGTTGCTCTTTTGTCCCCTTTTAGATCTCCAGATTTTTTTAATCCAGTCACTGTCCCCTTAATGTCCGAATAGTCTGAATAATAAGTGACTGTTAGTGTACATTTGAAGTTGTTTAGATAAATGAGATCCTGTCTGGAAAAATCCCCGCAATAAGAGGAACTATTTCCATGTATACTACTTTGTGTTTGTCGACAGTCCCACAGTGCCATCCTGAAGTCATGCAACACTGCACCTGTTAGTCATGATAAAAAATGACAGAGACTGACATCTCAATTTACTGCTCGAAGAGTGTAAATTGTTGAGTGTTTATTGTACAGGGAGAAGGGAATGAGCGTCCAAGGGATTGATTTCAAGCACAGTCTCTGGTTTACAGTTTGTGTGTGAGTGTGTGGGTGGGTGGTGGGTTGACTGATGAATCTTATGTGTGACTGAGTGAGATGTTTCCTCTCTTTTTTTTACTTGTTGTAATGAAGTCAGTTAATTAAGTAATCTCTCCTCTCTCATCCTCTCCAGTTCCTGATATCAGTATAAGGCCGACATCAGCAGGTGTGGTCTTCACCACAGAAGAGCCCCTCCTACTGTCCACCACACAGGCCACAAGCCCTGCCCCCTCCGCCTCACCTGCGGCCGAGCCAAGCCCCAACCCAGAGGAGCCCACCGCCACCCCACTGCCAACTGAGGCAGAAGGAGAAAGCGGCGTATTCTGGGAAAGAGATCGAGAGCTGGAGAGGGAGAGAGAGGAGGAGAGGCAGAGGGAGAGGGAGAGAGAGAGGGAGCTGGAGAATGAAAGAGAGAAGGAGAGACAGTTGGAGAGGGAGAGAGAGAGGGAAAGAGAGAGGGAGCGGGTCCGAGAGCTGGAGAGAGAGAGGGAGCGGGAGAGGGAGAGAGAGAGGGAACGTGAGAGAGAGCGAGAGAAAGAGAGAGAGAGGCAGAGAGAGCGAGAGCTGGAGAGAGAGAGAGAGCTTGAGCGAATCAGGGCCGCTGCCCAGACCACTGCCGCCCCACGATCCCCTGCTGCTGTCCCTGTGGTGACTACCAACCCGGCCCTCATCCCTTCAGAAAGCGCAGTGCCGTCTTCGGATGACCTGAGCACCACAGAAGAAGAAGACGACGTCTACCTATCACCTGAACCCACATCGTTCTACCCTGGATTCGACTTAGAAACCACCACAGAGGAAGACACGCTCACCACAGCAGAGAGAACACCTGAGCCCACGACAGCGGCACCCACCACCACTGTCAAGACCAGGATCCCCTTCAGGCCAAGGGTTCCCATAACAACAGTCACTCAGGCGACTCCATCAGAGAGAACGACCCGCCCACAACAGCCAACAACTTCACAGGTAAGATTCAAGTTCAGTCCTTCGATTTACTCTATTATGTTGATATAGACTAAATATCATCATATATGAAAGTTGAAAGCATACAGTATGTTTCTAATTGAGCATAAACGGTGCCATTAGTTGTTTCAGAACTTCAGAAAGAACCCAGTAACTGTTTCCCTATGTTTCCAGTCTTTATGCTTAGCTAGGCTCATAGCCTCCTGTCTCCAGCTCATGACTGCACAAACAAGCAAAGTACCATTAACGTTCTCATTTCACATTATTCATTGAGCAATACTTCCAGAGAGTGTGATAGTTTTTTTAAAACATCAAACTAATCTTTGAAGAGACAAAGCCTCCTTTCTCAAATTTCAAAGGCCCAGGCTGCTGTCAGTACATTTATTTTACCTTTAGCTAACAAATCCTAAAAAAGAACCTAAACATGAAATGAAATACTTTTTTAGACAGCTCTATTTACTTCTGGAAGTCCAGTTAGGGTCTAAATAAGATAGGCATGTAGTTTATTTAAGCTAAATGTACCCAAACAAAAGTAATCGGTGCATCTGTTTTTGAAGAAACACCAGCAGCTTATGAGAACTTTGAGAAATAAAGGACCGTCTTTCATAAATAAAAAAAATACATCGATTTAAGTTTTGACCAACTCACACGCACACTAGCTTTTTTATAAACTCTACTAATAGAGTCATTTTGTTTGGTAGCAATAAACTCTTGAGGTTTGATACCCACCCCTCCATCTGTAAGCCTCTGTACCACTGACAGCTCAATCATTTACAGACCAGACTCATTTCACTGATTGGTTTGCTTCTGTTTATCTGAAGCAGTCCTGCATTCAAGCATTGATGCATTTAGATTCGTCTGGTTTTCCACGTTATAATTAAGCTGCCAGGTTTTATGAAGTGTGTATACATGTTGGACAATAAATAACTTTCCAGCAGTCCAAACATACAGAGGCTCATTGTTTCAAAAGGCGAACCTGTGCCATGGAAATGTTTCAGTTTGTGTTGGTTTGGATGAGTTTCAGTGTTGCAGATCCATGGAACAAATGGGATTACATCAGATGTAAAATTTCCTGTCATTAGTTCCACTTCTCTTTCTCTCTCTCTCTCAGGAGGGTATCAACGAAGTGGGTGCTGCAGGACCCAGTGGAGACTTTGAGATCCGTGATGATCGGCGTAATGATCTGGGTCGAGGTATAATGCCAGTGGATCCTGATCTGATTGGCAACACGGTGGACGCAGGCAGCTCTGCCGCCCAGCTGCCACAGAAAAATATCCTGGAAAGAAAAGAGGTCTTGATAGGTAGGAAAATCTCAGTGAAGATCTCAGCTGTTTGTTTGTTTGTCTGCCTAATAAACAACTAAGTTATCACTTCTTAGATCAACAGATTACATTTCCCTGTTGCCTCCTGTATTCTTTCCCTGCTTTTTGGGAGCTGCTAAGATGAAGTGGCCTTTGCTCAAGTTCACGTTGTGTAGATTCATCACGATAAGTGAATGTGCTATTTAGCCCCGTTTGACCCGTTGAGAACAAGCAATCCTCTTCTTGGGTTATCCAGACCCCTCCTTGCTCCCCTCTTTTTCTCATCATTTTCCCTCTGGGTAAATCCAATTTCTTTTCAAGTGCCCCCTCCCCTCCTCCTCATCCCATAGAGCTGTTGAAGAAAGTGCAGAAGCAGCCAACTTGTCTGACCTGACTGGCTCTCTGTCTCTCCTTCAGCTGTTCTGATTGGTGGACTGCTGGCCGTGGTTTTCGCTGATTTCCTGGTCACCGGTAAAGAGCAGGAGGCAACAGATCTTAGATTAGAGTAGACTGTGAACGTATCTGGCACATATATTTCCATATGTAGTGCTGTACATGTGTAGTCACTTGACCTATAGGGGTCACATGTTGAAGACATGAGACATTCAGTATTTAGAAGGTATTTACAAACTAAAGTTTTTAAAGTTTGGAAAAATAAAGTAATCCAGCCTATTATTGTGATTAAGTAAAATAATTAGCATTTCATTACAGTCAGGTTTATTCTAGCCCCACCAAATATTTCAGAATGTAAAAAAGGAATTTGGAATTTCCTAAATCTCTACCCATTCTAACAGCCTCTGAGACATGTTTTTAAACAATGATGGCATTATATTAATATTTAGAAGATCCTTAGAGTTGATTAAGTAACACTATGTAGGGTCAATACATCCTTTAATATGTCAATACATCCTTTAATATGTCAATACATCCTTTAATATGTCAATACATCCTATAGTTGTAGTTAAATATGGATATTTGTGATAGACTTAGACATTTTCCATCCATGGGCCCAGTTTGCTAGCATGGCTAAAAATAGCCTTTTTTGTCAGTGATGGTAATGAAGATCTGATATTATGGATTCAAGGAAAAGTAGTTCATCATGTCTTTTTTATGAGAAACTGCTAATGGTGCACTTGAAAGAGTGAAATTAACATTTCTCATCTCCAGTATCGCAAATGTCCTCCACAGTAAAATCAGTGATGGTAAAATTTCCTATTACTGCACAATATAATACAAAAAAAACAACAACCTTTTTGTACAATGATCAGAAAGGATTTGAAAAGTCAAAGTGGGCAATACTTTTGCAGTGACAGTGCATTTAAAAAGTTCTGTTGTTATCGCTAACCCAGTCTATGTTCTCTGATATTGGCAGTAATGAATAAACAAAGTAAACACCTCCCACGCAGTGAATGGAAACAAAGTGTTCTTTGAGCATTTTGGAAAATAAACACTTTGTTCTCTGTTTTGGCATCGATACCAATTAGTTTAAGGAGGGAGAGTTTCCCCCCCATTTGATTAGCACACACTAATCTATCGCACACAGTTCATTAGCTATGTGTGCAGAAGAAGTGGAAAATGCAGAGTGTAGCCGAGTGATTCTGATGTAGCACTGCAAGAATAAAATGTAGCTCAAAGCTGCTGGCAACACACAACATCTGTTAGCAGCTAGCTGATAGTGATGCTGTGGTAGCTTTGCTTAGTGTTCAATTCAGCGTGTGTTTGTTGTGTTTTAGGATGTAACAGTGGTGTAAATGGTATTTCTGTGTTTGTTTTATATTCCATGTGTTTGTTTGATCTGTTTTCGAGAGTTTTTCAGAAATCCCGTCTCTTTGTGTTTTTCTCTCAGCGGTGATAGTCGGAGGAGTCGTGGGCGCCTTGTTTGCTGCCTTCCTGGTGATGTTGCTGGTGTACAGGATGAAGAAGAAGGACGAGGGCAGCTACACGCTGGAGGAACCCAAACAGGCTACCGTCACCTACCAGAAACCAGACAAGCAGGAGGAGTTTTACGCATAACACTCATATTCCAGAGAGACGCATCGCACACCGAGGGAGAGATACAGAGTGAGAGAGAGAAGAGAGAAAGATACTCTAAGCCCCCCCTCTTTGTCCCCCAGTCCTACTTTTTCCTCCTCTTCTTCATTGCTTCCCCTTATCTCCTTGTCCCTCTCTCCTCTCGTCTCCAGAACACTCTTGAGCGCCTTTCTCTCGGCGGACTCGGAACTTTCTTTTCAATGAAATCGAAAAAGAGGACCAAAAAAAAAAAGGAAAAAAAAAATCCAAATATATTCTGAAAAAAATAACTCATACACACAAGATGTTTTTAAAGTAAATGTTGTTATTAATATTCTACAGATTCTCTTGTTCTGTATGTAATGATATGATTATTTTGTAAGAAAAGAAGGACAAACAAAACGAAACACAAGCTCTTAATGTGTTTTCCAGCACACAAAAGAAGTTCCTCTGTTTTTATGGAGCTATTGAAAAGGCAAAGGAGAGGAGAGGAGAGGGGCAGAGCGAGCTGAGCAAGACACAAAAGAAAAATGAAAGAGAGGAGCGGGCTAGACTCTGCCCCTCATCCCCCCCCTCAAAAGACACACAGAGCATCTGGTTGGCTGCACAGAGCAAAAAAGGGTCAAAAGGTGAGAGGAAAGGTCTCTTTTGTGCCTTCCATTGCTCTGGTGCTTAGATGCATAAACATAAACATAAACAAATGCTGACACACAGACACACACACATACACACACACACACACACACACACACACACACACACACACACACACACTGGCTTGTGTCTGCTTGAAGGTCGCTCTGACCTCTCTCTCTGTACTTGGCCAACCAGATAATGCTGATCAACCTCAGCGTGTTTCACAATGTCGAGGCGCCGCTGTGGAAACATCGGCTGGTCGCAAAAAAAGGTTTGCACGAGCTCAGCCGTCGGCCCGTCTGCTCCTTTAAGCTGTACAAAGACTAGTTACGGAAAGTAATAATAACCAATAATATATCATTGTTCTGGGCTGGACGGTGATAATGATGATAACAATAATAATATAATAATAATGCCATTATAATAATGATGATAATAAAACTTAAACAGGAGGATATGTATTTAGCAGTTTAAAAAGTTTATATGTAAATATCTGCATATCCATATCTGGCATCACTAACCATCTGCATGATCATGAAGAGTTTTTAGTCATTACATCCTTCATCACTTTAGATGAGCTGTGCTCTCGTTTGCCACATGCACACACACACACACACATCGACACACCCTCACAAGTGCAGACATATAACTTGCTGTGCATTAAGAACACACAGACTGAAATATTCTGTAAATCATATCATTCGAACACATATCAAACCCATCAACACCCTCATTATGGTTCATTGTGATTGTCATCACTTGAGATACGAGTGAGATCAGTTGGTTTCAATATGTTATTGATTAGGTATGGATCAGTTGCAGGTTGGTTTAGTGTTTGGTCTGTTTGTGGAAAAGCACAACTTCGTGTCCAGTCAACATGTCATTAGATACCTCCCCACTCACACACCTTTTGCATGCCTCACTTTCTTTTTTGTCCACCATTGGCTCTCTGTTCAGGGATGGGAGGGGTCTCTGCGATTGGGGCTTAAATAAAAAACCAAGAAAGTGTGAATATGTGTGGAAGTTGCTCCCACCGGCGCTGATTCGGCAATAATCACTTTTATCATTTAAAAAAAACGCTGAATTAGTGTGAATGGGTTCGACTTTACCCTGATACTTTTTGGGGAAAATGAATGAGGGAGGGAAATGGGTTTGGATGGCTTTGGACAAGGAATTTACCATATTCACACTACAGCCATTTTCAACTGATGTCATGCTCAAATGCAGTGATGTGTTTTGATCTGCTGTTTATCAGGTGGGAAGACCTTTCAATCTAAAAAGTACTGAATCAGGTAAGACACTCCTTGTTGCTGTGTTTGCAATATTTCAAGTTCAAAAAAAAATATCGGAAAATTACTTGTAAGGTACCCCAATATTTTTTTACATTATGACAACATTGGGGCTTCCCACCCTGAGTGTAACATCAGAGGATGATGGCCGCCATGTGAATATGGTGAATATGTGGAGGCAGGAGGGCTGTGCTTCTATCTAAGAGATTGTAACAATAACCACACCAGTGCGACTGGGCTAGTAGCGTCTATTATACTCAGTACTGTAGAACAAAAATGCATGGGAGTCAATATAATACTAGTCTGGGTGTGTGCAGATGCGTTTGTGTGTTTTTTTGTGTGTTTGAAAGCAAAAGTGGGGTGAGTTAAAGTAGGAATGTACTGTGGTCGAGTGTGTGTTTACCTTCTCCAGCAGATCTCACGCTCTTCCATAGACAGGTAACACACCTCTTCCACTCCTGTGTGTACGTCACCTGCCCCCTCACCAGTGTGAGAATATCTGTGTGTCTGCAACTCATCTAAACCCGCCACCTGTTTATGCGTGTATGTGTGTGTATGTGTGAGTGCTTCACCTTGGTATTTCACAGCAGACTCTGTGTACGCTGACTAGCCTGTCGGTGTGTGTGTGTGTGTGTGTGTGTGTGTGTGTGTGTGTCTGCGTGTGTTTCGTCCATTCACTGCTGAATGAGGGGCAGCTGGTCCCTCACAGTGGCTTTCACACACACTGACTGTCTTTTCACTGTCTGTCCGTCTCTCTCTCTCTCTCTCTGCCCCAGGATAGACGGACAGACAACATGCCACTTTCTCACAGGCAGGAATGATCTTAACACGTACTGTCTTTTCTAAAGTGTAAACATGTGTGTTTGTACCCATTTAAGCCTGCGTAGCCAAATAAGACGTGTGTGTGTGATTATGTATGAGAGAGAGAAAGAGTGGATTTGTACGTGTGTGAGTGTAGGTATGCACATGTGTGTGTGTCTGTGTGTGTGTGTCTGTGTGTGTGTGTGTTACGTGTAGCCCGATGGAGGCGACACTACTCTATGTTTGCTGTTTCCATTCCTGTTTTTATACATTTGCATTTTTTTAAGGCTGAGTTTCTGTCATTGGCTGAGTGAGCGAGAGGAGGCGGATCCTCTACGCCACCGCCCTATCACTAATCTGCCACTCTGTTCCAAATAAAAAACCTGATTGGGTAACTCTGTCCTCTCTTGTCTTTTTTATGTTAAGTGTAACCATCAAGATACGTGTTTTGCTGTCAATGATATAGGATTAACTCCATATAACTGGGGTAACCTGGGTCAGACTCATTACCCCCGACTAAAATGACCGGCCACAAGACAACTGAAAATACTCCTTACCAACACTTTTTGTCCCCATTTAAAATATACGTTAACTTCTCAGACGGCCCTAGAACAACCATGCTGTTTACCCCCTGAAGATCCCCTAACAACCTCCTGTGCACTGTGCACCTTTAAATGACGGCTTAGTCAGCTTGGAGTTAGATCAGAAGAATGTTAACCAATGAAATGTCTTATAGCTACAAGCTACAGGCAGCATCTGGTTAGCTTAGCTTGACACAAAGACTGAAAATGGGAGGAAAAGCTAGCCTGGCTTTGCTCAGGTCTAGACTTTAAAATCAACTAATTCCACAGAGTTAGAGTCTAGCCTTGGGGCATGACTATATTTTCTCTACCAAGCATGAGTAACAAACACAATGTCGGCTGTTTCATAGACTGCATTACATCCCAGTTTCCCAGACAACACAGATTGTTCTAGTTTGTCTCCACTTTTACTCTGGCAAAACCAGCATGTTGGCAATCGCAAGCACCAGTTGATTGACATTTGATTAAGGCTGATATGTTGGTCTCTAGTGGTTGTTTAGGGAAAATTGAATCCTCATACTCAAGGGAAATCTCTTACACTGGAGGCAATATCAGTCCGGGGTGTAACAGTATAACAGGTTGAAAATCCAGTCAGGTATCAGGAAAAGCCATGCTGTTACCGTTTAAAAAAAACAAAGTACTGTCACAACCTTTATATCTTCAAACGTTATGTTTGTTTAATGATTTTTCATTAGAGTTCATTCCTTGCCAGAATGGAGTGATTTTAAGGAGGAGCTTGGGTCTGGACTTGGACACTGGACTGTGTCTGGACGCTGGGCAGTGCCAGGCTAGCAGTTTGTCTGGTTTACAGTCTCTATGCTAAGCTACGCTAACTCGCTTGTGTCAGTAACTGGTTTCCATCTTTTCATACAGCAGAAAAGCAAATACAAGTGCACTACTCCGTTCAATACAAAAGATAAGAAAACATTATTGGTGCTTTCACACGTGCACAAAACTCTTGAACTGACATAATGACTGCTTCATTTTGTCTGATTCTTCTCCTTATCATCATGGCTCATCTCCTGAGAGCCCAATTCCCCCCCCCGTCTATGGCTGTGAGGAATGCATGAACAACCAACTCTAGAAGATTTTGGGGCATCATGCTGGAATTTGTAAATGTGTAAACTGCTTATGAGACCCACATTATTGTACTTAAGTTTAAAGAATTCCCTCTAAAATGTGCCATTAATCATTTTACTCAAACCAATTAAGTTGCAGTGAAGCTGAGAATTTTTTTAGCCTCTAGGGGTCAAGGTAATCCAGCTTTGTTCATTAATATAATTATGACCTGTCCATGGTGTACCCCGCCTCTAACACAATGTCAGTTTGGACAGACTGCAGCCCTTGAGAGATCCTGCTGCAGGTAGAGATAAATACTAATGACTATACAGCAGGTAGAAATGACAATGATTGCTCTTGTGCCCAAATCACACAAATATTCTGTCTTTGGAGGCCCTCTTACACAGCCACCTGTCTATGAAGACGAACACTTGATGTTGGAAAGCAAAAGAGAAGTGATGTTTTATGTATCACTTATATGAACAGGGGCTTTGCCAGACAGTTTTATGACAGGGATCGAAACAATTTCTGTGTCCACTAATCATATAAGCTACTACCATCAAGGTAGATGTTGTGTAGTTGTGAGTTAGTAAGTAATTGAAAATAAAGTTGTTCCTAAAACAGTCCCAGCTTAGGAAAACTAAACATGTGCTACATTGAAACACCATAAAAGTTGCCCAATTAGTTGGTTAATTTTGTCTACATACAGTGTCGTGGATATTGTTGCTAATCCAGTGAACAGGGTTTTGTCAGTGTGGTTTTTGGATAATCCAAAGTAACCAGGACACTGTTGCTGAAAAGACAGCATACTGTTGAATTATTTAAAAGTGATTTTGAATGCTGTTAGTATCACATATGAAATTCCATTTGCCTTTAGGAGCAAGGAAATCTTAGAGACAGACAAAACTTGGGCAAAAACAACAACAAAAACAAACAGTTTGTTGTTAGATACAAAGATATTTTGGAATGTACTGTATATGTATATAGACAATCTGTCTTGCTGTCAAATTTGAGGCCCAAGATTTGTGCGTTGTTTGACTCCGTGGATACAAAGTATAGCTCAGTGAGGCACTGAGAATATATTTTAGTAACATCCATTTAAAAGAACTCGCATGCAGACACAAAGTCTCGCTCTCGTGCTATCACACTCCAGCATTAGCCCGGCCTTCATACCACTTGTGACCCAGTGACATTACCCACAACCCTGTATGCTTGGATGCTATCTGATCTGGCAGAGCTTGCGTACATGTGTATGTACCATCACAGGCTCATAATAGCCTATTTACACTAGCTGAACTCAGACAACCCTCGAGGGAGGCCCAGCCAGATAGATTTCTTAAAAATAATCACAGATAAATTTAGTTATGAGATGATTAGATAAACTCTCCATGGGACGATGGGAGCACAAAAAAATGGGAATTATTCTGCGGTTTACATTCTTTGCATCAAACCAGATTAAACCAAGGTCACCTGGCGAGGACGAGTCTAGCAGAGAGTCTTTCCCTGGATCCTGAGAAGACAACAAACTGCCCTGGCCTTGCTGATATTTGCCTCACACAGACGATGAGGTTTTTGTTTATGTGAGTGCTCTTCTCTTATGTGTGGGAGGAGTATAGGCTGCACAGTAGAGTTGAGGTAGACAGAAGAAGGTTTAAGAGCCTGGGGTTCCTGCCAGTACCCCATCTGGTGGGTAACAGAGGAACAACTGCGCCACACAAACTGACGGAGAGTGTTTTAACTTAGTGTTTTTCACAACTGACATGCAATAATTTGAACCATTAGCTTGCAGTAAAACAGATAATGGGGCTGTTACATGTTTGCTTTATTTCCAGAGACTTTTAGTTGAAACGTCTGACCCTTTGTGCTGTAAGAGGCTCAAAGGATCAGCATTATTTATCCTCACTTTACAACAGTGGTTCCAAATCTAGAGTGGGGGTGGGGGTGGGGGATGGGGGGACCCTTGCAAGATTTCCCAGGATAAATATAAAAGGGTCACAAGAATGTTAACTTTTGGAAAGCAGAATTAAACCCACTTCAGATAAAGTGAAGGTCAAGGTTTTGTTTTTTTAATATTTCCTTCAATGTTATGATATGTGCTTGATATTTATACACAGGCGGCTGTAGATCAGCGGTGTCGGCCGTCTCTCAACCAGAAGGTCGGGGGTTTGATGTCCAGCTCCTGCAGTCACATGTCAAATGTATCCTTGGGCCCAAGTTGCTCCCACTTCTTTGTTGGCAGCGTATGAATGTGTATGAATGGATTCATTTATACTTTACATAGCAGCCTCTGCCATCAGTTTGAGAATGAGTGTGAATGGGTAGGTGGGACCTGCTGTGTGATATCACTTTGAGTGGTCAGAAGACTAGCAAAGCATTGTACAAACTCAAGTCTATTTACAATTTACATCTTTCTCTGAGAGTTACTATTGTTTGTTACCCTCATGCTTTTATTAAAATAAAAAAGGCAGTTAATGGACACTGACATTGACATTCCTCAGCTACAGATTTCTGTTGTTCTCTACGACACATTTAGACAGTTCACAGTAAACATCTTAGTCAGGATGGAATGGAAAATCAAAACACATTATCATGTGTTTAGTGACTCAAGCGCCATGATAGTTGAATCTTTTAATAACAGTATCTCATGATGATATGATTCAAAAGTGTATGATTACATTTAATCAGAGACCAAATGGATTTCGATTTTTACATCCAATCCTACAAACAATAATTGCAGAGTCAATTACAATGAGATCCAAGTCTAAACAGAATCATGACCATTAGTGCACACTAAAGTGTTGAAGTGGGAATCAGGAGGTGATAATTACAGATTCTCCACAGTTGCATAATGATCATGAATATCAGTGGCGGTTAGCTTATGAATCCTTTTCTCAAGAAAAAGCACCATTTACGCAATGTCAATACACGTCAAACAATGAACTTTAGTTTAAAAAGTAAAAGATATACTGCAGGTAAAGAGCCTTTGTGAAAATGAGTCACATAACATTATTACATCATTAAAAGAAGAAATTAGGAAGGCTAGTTACTGTTGTACTTACTCATGTATCATGCATTTAGCTCAATACATTTATAGACTGGGTTATTTCATATTTTAAAACATGTGGGTCAGGCCCTCTTAAAAGGTTCACAAGATTAGTCTGAGTGGTCATTAATCTTGGAAAGGTGAAAGAGAAAGAAAATCAACAATTTTGTGTTATTGGTAATTTCTTCAATCTTTGTCTATAAAGAGATTTGAGATTGATTTTTTAAAGAGGATCTGTTTCAAAGAAATCTTTTATCCTTTCATACATCTTTTAGGCTCAGATTGCTTATTTAATCCAGGTGAGATGTTAATAAAGGATGTCTGTCAAACATCATCGCATAGACATCTGAACTCACAGGGTTGCATGCTAGTACAGGATGTCTTATAGAAAACAACAATTCCTTATTGTATACATTATTTATTTATAATTATGAGCAAATCAAATCAAATTTCAGTCCAGAAAAGTAACACAAAGCTATAGCAGTTCATGTGGTGAAGTAAGAAGAATCACATTGCTCTCTGAAGAGTAAATATAAAGTAGCATAAAGTAGAAATGAAAAGTTATATTTCAGAGGCGTATACTTGAGGTATGTGGTTTTAAAATTTCAAACACTGATGATTTGTGTACATTAACACAAAATAACTTAAAACACAATAAACAATACAGCAGGCAACATACACAAAACTAGTATACTGTTGTGTCATTGTGTGAATGACTTTCCACTGTCAAAAGAAAAATGTATTCCCTTTCCAAACAAAGGGTAAGACAATAAAGTATTTTCTATTCTATCCTATTCTATTCATTCAACTCGATGGAAATGGCATATTAAAAAATGTTAGAAATGAGAAGCTTGTAAAACTTACATGTGTTACAGTATGTTGTTTGTTGGTAGATTAAAATGTAAGCTCAGTATAAACTTGCAAATATTGGTTTATCTATAGAATATTTGCCCCAAATACCAAATACATTAAGTAAAACTAATGGTCATAATTCCTTTATATTCAATTGATAAACCAGAAAATGTCATTCACAAATTGACAAAAAACAGAGGGTAACAGTTTTTACTGACACAGTAGCTCTTGGTCTGAAGCCTCTTGTAGAACCTGTACTGATCACTGATTGGCTGTTCAGAAAGTTTCTGTGTCACTGCAGGGGGAGGTAATCAATCAATCAACCTCATTAGCCTCCAGTTCAGTAGCAATTCGCAACGTGACCCTGCGAGGCTTAATTGATTAGAAGAACAACTTTATTGGTTTTGACTGCCACCATGGATGAAGACTGTGATTTAGCTGAAGATTTCGGTAAGGACGTTTAATTGTTTTATTGGTTTATTGGCTTGCTTTGGTGATGTTCACCTGCCGACCAAAGAAAGGCTTTACTCCTTTGACAAACTTTAAAGGACTTTTAAAACTTCCTGTGAGTATTTAAGCTCATAATCTTTAATGTGAGATGCAGCTCCCCGTGCTGCTTAGCTCCACAGGGACAATTAAAAAAAAATTAAAACTCGGTTATTAACATTCACGACCCGCCGTTTGTAGGTGGGGACAGGTTAGCTAGCTGCAGTTAGCCACACAGAGTTAATTAACGGTCAGGTGAGGTGGCACGAGGCGCTGCACAGCTGGGACTCTAATTAAGTCATTGCAAACAGAAGCTCCTCGTGAGGATGACGTTATCAGGTTTTATTTGACCTCCAGTACACCACGTGACTCTTTGAGTAATAATATATTATAAAGTTATTTCACTCAGCAGGCCTGTGGGCTCTGTTTGAGGTGCTGAGACATTAAATAGGCCTTCAGGAGGGTTTCCTACTACAACTGAGTTAAATAAACTCATAAAGTTAATGTATGGGAGAGGATCTGAAAGGTGTTGTGAAAGGGGGTAAAAGTGTAAGAAAAAAAAGAGCCATAGCCAGGATTTCAGAAAACAGGCTCTCAATCCTTACCCCATGAAGTCCCTGTTTGTCACTAATGTGCTTACTGTGAATTTACTATTTATTTTTTGCATTTAGATCAAACAGGGTCTGAATACTTATGTAAAGCAACTTGCAGTTACATAAAGTTAAATAAAACATATGCGAACACTGCAATTCATAATGTACATCACATGTATGTGGATGAGAACACAAAACTCAACACTAAATAAACAAATGCTTCATTGACAATACCTTGGATAATACATAATATACATATAATATATCTGAAGCTTGTTGGATAACTGTTTGGAGGTTGTGCTCTCGGCTTCTTAAATATGAAGGTATGCTGGATTTCATCTTTTTCTGTGCTAATTGAAAGAATATCTCTTTGTGGGTGCTGTAGACACTCAGGCATTTAAAAAATGTCAGCTTTGGCTGTGAGCATTTTTCTTTTGACTTCTGACATTTTATAGATGCAAAGATTAATACCTTAATTGACATTTTAACCAACAGATAAAAAAAGTCTGAAGTTACAGCAACAATTTTAGCTTTCTTTGCACTTGAAATGGAGTTCTTGTTTGGTTCTATTATACCAATTTACTACAAAAGGTCAGCAACAGTTCATCATGAACTGGTTAGTTTCTAAAGAGGTAATGCATTAAAAGATTGAACAAGATAAACATTTGAAACTGAGTAACACAAAACCAGTTTGTACTTTCTAAAGCTTGTGACAAACCAGACACCTCTGAAACGTATGTTTATATTGAGTTACCAGTAAAAACCTGTTGTCCAACTAACCATCTTGTGCTCGGTAGAGAAACATAGAAAAGTTTTGTTATTGGGAGCCTCTTGTATGTGGTTGTAACATCTCCTTACAAAATTTCTTTGAGGTAAAGTATTTTTCAAATATATTCTAGAAAAATATGTATTCATTGTCCCTGAGCCTGGCATAATCATGTTATTCTGCAGGAAACACCTTCAAATAAAAATGTAACTTGATGTTTTGGCAGAAATATACAACCCTAAAGTAATATTTCTTACTTTGTAATGTTTTATGGCGGTTACCTCATAAAGCTTGATTTAGTATGCCCACCTTTTCTCAAAACTCTGCAGGAAGGTGCTATAGGATTTTGTGTGAATCCAGCTGAAGCCAAGCTTCAACCTGCTCGCTGTGGCTCCTCTGGGAGCACAGAGAAAGAAATGTAACCAGGTCACTGTGTTTTTTTTTTTTTTCAAATCAAGATCGGTAGGCTGTTATTAGATGGGGTTACCACTGCTGAAAAATAACAACAAGAATTATTACAAGCAAAGCTAAATATAATAAATGCAGGCAGGGGGCATGGGAGGTTCTCCTCGAATGCAACCCAACACATTTTTAGAGCTCTATTAGAGGGATTAGCATCTTGCCAGTCATTTCATTGTTATTTTGGAAATTCTACAAACATTTTTTTGCTGCATTCAGATGGATATGAAAAAATGAGAAAGTGTGTTTTTGGTTTAATTTGATTTTATAATTGCAGTAATTGTGATCAAGATAAACTTGCCTTAAGTACTGACAGCATGGTGTCAGTGAAAGTAGGTCCAGCTTTCCAGAACAAGAAACTCTCACTACACTCTGTTACAGACTGTCCAAGCCTTCTGTGCGAGGAGCTGGAGGATTTGGAAACAAAGAAGGACCAAGGGAGTACGAGGAAGAGGAGGAGAGAAGAAGAAGAGGGAGAAGTGTTTAATAAGGGGGAGGATGAAGAGGCAGGTGAGGAGACGGAGCTAGAGGAGAAGGAGGGGAAGAGAGATAGAAAAGTTTTTGTGTCCGAAAAGGAACTGATGACTGCAGCAGAGGGAGAAGAGGAGGAGCAGGTGAAGCCGGAGAGTGGGCCGGGAGTGGAGGAGGCACAAGAGGTGCAAATGGAAGACAACACGATAGAGAACAATGTGGACACAATTGCTGAGAAGCAGGAGGACAAAGAAACAAAAGGTCTAAAAGAAAAAGATGAAAAGAAAAAGAGTAAGAAGAGGAGAGGTAAGGCTCAGAGTGAGCGTGTGAGAAACAGGAGAAATTTAAAAGATGTTGCAGAGCGCTTTGAAGGGGAAAAGAGGGGTCAGTTACAGGACGTGTCAGCAATGAGCTCTGAGGGGAGTCTAGTTCTGTCAGAGCCTCCCATTGGACTAATAAACACCTGCGACCTGTCTGATCCTGTTTATCTGGGCTGTGGGGGGACTGGATTGTATCGCCAAACAGTACCTGTTCCCCTTCTGTACTCCTCACAAGCTCCTGTCCCGATCCAGCCTGCACCTCCTCACCCCCTCGAGACAAAAAGACCACACAGTTCCCCTCTACCTTGCAGTCTCCCCCAGCAGGGCCGGCGGCCTCCAGAGGTTAGAACACACCGTCACTGTTTACCAATCACCTGCTAACACATGATTAAGAAAATATAATAGTGAACAACATTAAAACTTATTTGTATTGGCTCTTTAACATAATTCTTTCCCTTTATTCACTCTTAATAATTCAACCCTGATTTAGCATTTGTCATATTACAATCTGGCCATTTTCCTTCAAAGTAGCATCCTAGGTTAGAGGTTAAATGCTGTTATAATGTTGAACGGATGTATTCCAAGCTTTCAGATCAGCTAGCTATGACATTCAACATATTTCAATTTAACTTTGCTGTTCAACTTTAATGTAATCCCACATTAGCTTGCTGAAATTACTATTGGCTGTGAATGCAAGTATTACTATCATAACTTGTTGAACTATCTGATGTTATCTTTAACAAGTGAGTGAATGAATGATAAGGTTAGCTGTTGCATTATTTTACACTATGCATTGTCAGTTGCCAACCAATTGGAAGGCGTTGAAATGATAGCGATTTGTCTGACTATCTGCCTTTAAACAATCCAAAAACCTACGACATAAGACAGCAGTTTTAGAGTCTGACATCACTCATAAAGACTCTGCCATTTGTTGAAATGCACTCTTACAGATATTTTAGTCTTAGGGGGCCTGCTGAGGGTACTTGTTTAACTTACATTTTATGTTTATCATAAGAGTCTTTAGATTGAGAGTCGTACTTGTCTGCATTAAAATAGGGGCAGAAAATAATATTATTAGAAACATCTCTGGATATAACGCATAATCCTCTTTGTGGCAGTTACTTCCGGCGCCGACGCGAGTGGCTGTATATCCAGTAGCTCCGTCCCTGTTGTATTTGTTTTTAATAAATGTTTCATGTCATGTACATCTTTGTAAGCTGCTACTGGATGCTTTGAATTTCCCTCTGGCTCAATAAAGTATCTATCTATCTGTCTATCTTATGAAAAAGTTAACATAAAGGCATCATAAAAGTAGAAATTATAGTCGACCAGCTCTTCATCACTGCTTTATATTGTTATGTTAAAACAAAATAAATAATATACTGCAACTACAACATTCAATTTACAGAAATATTCTGTTGCCTAGGTTACATTTACCCAATATTCAGCCCCACAGATTTGAGACTTTGTAAACTTTGAGCTGTGTACAAGAAAAACTTCTATGGGTTTGATTAATGCTTCAGGGGGCAGGTCATTTGACCTCATCAGCCAAACAGACATATTTGCGTGCTCTAGGAAAGACTTCCTAAACTAATAATAACTCATTGTCATGTATAACTTCAGTGTAATGTGTATGAAGTGATGCACACCTACAACCTTCTGCAATATTAATGATGCAACTGTGAACATAGCGTCCAGGATTTGCCTAAGTGTGGTGAGGCAGGTTGATATGAGTAGCCAAAAGAGTTTTGTTAAAGTAATGGAGAGTTTGATAATGTTAGACTATGTAAACATATTTCATCAAACTATTAAGATGTGTAATCACAAATGAAGAATTCTATTAACTGTGTAGTGTCCTCTCAGTATGAAATACTGTCAAGAAATTAGTTATTTCTATTTAGTAGAAATGTTTTTCAATAATCCCACATACACATCACAATGGCTCGTAAGACTGGAAGACATTTTAGTTTCCCTGAATTCAGGCCTCAGAGGCATCTTTTACAAAGTAAAGGTATGCAGCAAAGCACACTCTGAGATCAAAGAAAAGGCCTGTTTTGCTTCAGCTTCTCCTGTAAGTACATCATGGTGATTTGGGGAGCTGGATCCAAACCAATACCGAGATTACTTTAAATGTATGAGTTGATATTGATATTGATTGATAGAATACTTTTTTACACTTGATAATTGAGTTTTGTGTTTTTTCAAGAAAAAAAAAGGATGGTCTCAGGCAGCTTTTGCAAATGTGAGGATTTGCTTCATTTGTTATTTATAATTAGAATGAATTTCATATATAGTCATTTGCAAACTATGAGACAACGGTTAGATTGTGCCGGTATATGTGTGTATCTCAGTGGACTCATGAGACATAACTGGGTAGACGGAAATGTATGACCAACTTCTTGTTTTATTCTATTAAAGATAATTGTTTCACTCAGGTTTAAAGTTTCTAATGGATCTCCGTTTTCTTTTCTTGTTGGCTACCCCTAAACACTTGACAATTAGAATTTGTTTTATAAAAGAAAAATGCATAAAATTGGGGAATATTTTACTGAATCTGACCAAGATGGTGAGTGTTGAGGTAGTGTTTGTCTCCACAGATGGATATCTCACAGATCTACTGCACCCGACGCTCCATCCGCTACAACAACAAGGGTCGAGGTCGAGCCCTCAGCTTCCCTCTGCAGCAGGGGTTGGAGACAGTGGACACCTGTGTGCTGCCCCCAGCCCCCAAAAAGAAGACACGAACTCTCTACAGTACAGGTAACAGAGTTGTCAGTTTGTCCAGGTGTGTTCAGATTCAGCTATTCAACTACTTCACCTGCGATTGTGATGTGTGTGCTTGTGTATCTGCCAATGCGTGCAGATCAGTTAGAGCATTTAGAGGCCTTGTTCCAGGAGGACCACTATCCTGATGCAGAGAAGAGAAAGGTCATCGCTGCTTCAGTTGGTGTCACACCTCAAAGAATCATGGTTGGACAGCCATCTTTCGTATTTGATTTTATGAAAAATGTACCTCATGCCTCTTTTACTTATTTTATCTATAATAATAGTAATAATAATTAATAAATTATTTTGAGATGTGACTCCCTTCTTTCACCTTCTGTTTCCATTGCCTTCCCTTCTTTGCAACCCTCATGTTATCCATTTTGTCTCTTGTCTGCATGTGTTTGTGCCTCAGGTCTGGTTTCAGAACCGCAGGGCTAAGTGGAGAAAGGCTGAACGCTCCATCACATCAAAGGTTGAACACAGACAGAGTAGAGCTAGTTGCAGCAGTAGCCCCCCACATCACCACATTTCCACACTGGCACCCAACAGGTACTATAATTTTGTCCGTCCATTATGGGATTTTGTAGTTCTACATGGTACAGATTGATGTATTTAAGCTTATTTTTTATGTGTGATGTATTGTTTGTTATGTTTTCTTTGTCTTTTTCAGTAAGGTAGCTCCTTCTTTTTCTGGTCACTTTACTACCAAGCTGCCTCCCCTCGCCTCTGCAGCCCCTTCGTTCCCCACCTTGTCCAACCAGACGCCTCCTTCTTACAGCAACCTGCTGGCCACCCTCAATAGCCCTGGTAATAAACTTTACATATACAGTTTTTTTAATCCCACTTTCTCACACTGCCTGATTTCCAACTCTGTCCACTGTCCTATCACTAAAATAAAGGCTTTAAAAAGCCTACAAATAAACCTTAAAAAAACTACTTACAGGAGTTGTGATATCCTCTATCACCGTGCAGCTTGTTTTAGTCTGAAAACCCACAGAGTGGAAGTGCTGCCAGAGAGATCCTACTGTGGGCATAAAAATAAAAAATTCACATTTTTTTTCAGTTGAGCAAAATTAGTAGCTTTACATTACACAACTTTACACTATGTAGTGGCTAGAACTACCTGTGAATCTGTGGGACATAAGACAGTGTGGTCAAAAACTTCAGAGCGCCAGGTTCTTGTGTGTGCGCACGGCTGATCACTTATAGCAATCGTTCACTATAATTGATAGACCCTACACAATTATCAATAACAAATTGGTGTAGTGTTGACCTGTAACTACTGTAACACAAAAAGAGCAAATTCTGGACCTAAATCACTTTCAATTAGGTAAGACCAGCCGGTGAATATGTGTTCGTCAGGAAGATAAGACTCTGAAGTAAGGGACTTCAGAGCAACATAAGATTGAAAGTTGCGCAGAGCAAATGGAATCACTATATTACAGGTTATCATGTTTTATTTTTGCCTAATGTAATTTTTCTGTAATTCTTTTGAATCTTATTTTTTAAACATATTTTTATATCTTCTCTGTGATTGTTAATTGTTTGTTTTAGTGATTTCTAAATTGTCTATTCTAATGTCTCTTTCGCCCTTTGTTATGATGCTTTTGATGTCGTGTGTGAAGCACTTTAGAAATACTATAGAAATAAACTTTACTTGACTAGGACCAACCTCCAGTCTTTGATTTATATTCTTTAAGATTTATCTGGAAGCAGGAGGATTTTCTGACTGGTTTAACCTCAGAGCTTGGTGGACCTTCACCCTACATGCTCGGGCAGTAAAAAATTCCCCAGAAACCAAACTACAGTATCGCTTTAATCCCAGGGTTTAATCTCTATGTTTCATCTCCAAGGTCAATCCAGAGTGAGAGATGGGGGCAAGCACCAGCTTTCATCGCAGGGGGGGCTGGCAGAGTACCACCCACGTCCAATGCACAGCCCTCCCCCGCTGCGTCGAGCTAGCCTCCCCCTTTTTACGACTTACAACCAGGCCAACCCCGCTGCCACTCTGCTTAACACCCTTGCCCACACCCCACCTCTGTTCCTGGACGCTCTGGAGGGGGGCTCCTCCTTAGCCCATCGTGACACCCAGTCTCTGCAGACTGACACCAGGTGAGCTCAGCTCACAGCTAACTGTGACATGGATACTAGAAGATGATTTAAACTAGGAGAACGAGAACAAGACCTGACAGGAGGACAGAGAGTTGGCAGGCTGTAGACACGAGCAGGGATCCTGTGAAATACTGATTTAATGATGCCTCAGACAGTGCTCGTGATAGTGGGGAGTCAGATTCAGCTGGCGCTCTGTAATGTTTTAGAATTCATGCTGGGAACAGTCTCAGTAAGTAATTACTTTGAACAACATTTTGTTTATTTCAATACAATCATGTATCACAGTGCGAAAATCCCTCAATGCAAGAGAACACAAAAACAATGAATATGAATACATTTTCCAGTCCCACTGTTTGGAGAATTTTAATTCTTGGAGCACAAATTACGTTCAATGTTTTGAACGACAGCAGAAGTCTCAAATATTCAGAGCATTTAGAAATAAAGTACAAGCTACTACTTTCAAGGAAAGACAATTATCGATGTTAATGAAAGAAGGTTTGTTTGAACCATTCCTCAGTGCTTTCCTGTGGATGTTATTGTTGGTCAGTTTTGACTCAGATGTCCAAACAACTATCAGATGGATTGCTATAATTGACCCCTGTGGAAAAAATGTGTGTGCCGGTTTCTCATAAGACTTTAGTGACCCCTGCAGCTCCATCAGGTAGAGAAATATAACACCAACTATTGAATGAATTTCAAAAATAGAAGGTTTACATGCAAAACTAATAAAATCTCTATCAGCATCAAAACTTAGCCTTAACCTCTGAGATTGCTGTGCGAAGACGCATGTTACTGACATAAGTGATTGGAATGGACAGTGTAAACAGATGTTAGTGGTTTTTGGCAAGTCTGTGCTAGCTGTACACTACTAAATCTTCAATGTAGAGCACATTGAGCTTTACCTGTAATGAAATGTGCTTTATTAATAAACTTCTATTTTATTATATTCTATTTTACTAAGCATTTACCTTGTTGCATTCTCCTTCACTTCCAGTTTTGGAACAGAGAAACAGAAACACAGATGCACTCAACCATCAATATATAGACATATCTATGCAATTTAAAAGTGTGTGACTACAGGTTTTCCTCTGTTGTATCGCACTTAATATTTATGGTCTGAGTGTGTTTGTGACTTCATTTTTCTTTGTCTGTCCTCAGTTCTCTGTTTGACTTTGGGGAGAAGCTCGACTACCTGACCTCAGGCCAGCAGAACAATACTCTCTCCTACCAGCTCCAGACCTCCTACCCCACCAGCCAGCCCCAGCACCAACCTCAAGCATCCCTGCCCCGCATGGCCTATCTCACCCCCTCCCCCTACCTCACCCCCAACCCTCCAGATTCCAATCCTACCTCCTATCTAACCTTTGCCCCAGGAGGAAACTCCACTGGCATGGTGACCTATTCCAGCGGAGGCCACACCTACTACCAGTCCCAGAGCACAGGACAAATTCTGCTGCAGCCAGCGGGTCATCACGGTGAGCCATCATGGAGGATATTTTATTGTGATTTTTTTTGAGCAATAGGAATACCCCAAAAGTTAGAACACTTAATAATTCAACTGTTTAAAATAATCATGCAACAGAAACAACAGGATCAAAATATACAAAAAACATCTATGTCCATCAACACAAAGCTTTTTCATTTAGAAGTCCAGGTAATGTTTGTCTGTTAGATGTGTGTGTGTGTGTGTGTGTGTGTGTATATATATATATCAGTTTATTCCATAATTTATTTGTATATTGTTACACAACATCTGAAAGCACCTGGGGAAAAGGAAGAGTCAGAGCAATTAAATTAACGTTGATTCTGAACGGAAATTTCAGAGTTCATTATAACCAAAATGTTCAGTTATATATCTTCAGTTATTTTTTCCAAATCAGTGCAGAGATACATTTTTTTCCCAACCAATTAAGTAAAGTAAAAGGCTCTGAATGCTATGTTATCTATTGGCCCTTACTGCTGTAATTGGGGAAAAACACCAATGAATTGCAAATAGACTCTAAGCTTAGTTACTGGGTGATTTTCAGACAATTGCCTGCTAAAGGTTGTAGCTGGTTTACCTAGGTACTCAGGCTTTTATCTACAGGCTTTTACCTTTACCTTTGACTTTTTATTTTATTTAATGACATTTTCTCAACTGTGAATCACCTCACACTGTCTATTCAGAGTGAACAGAGCAAATAAGTAAATATACACCATAAACTAACTTTGTTTTTAAATGTATTAAGTCATTTAATTTTGATTTTGACGTGAGAGCTGGAGAGTAATGATTGAGAAGTTTGAGATGTTTTTTTTTTTTCTTACATCACTGTGTCCAATTTCCATCGCAAAGACAACCTGGAAAGTTGCAATTCAATGCATGTGTAGTTACCACTCAGAAACCAGGATGTCCCAGTATAAGTCATGAGTTACTTTGAGATGAATGAGTAATGATTTGCTGATGAAAAAAGTGGAGCAGCAGTATAGGAGCAGGTGGGCTAGGTTTTTGGGGGGAATGTCACATAAAGGACCTGGGCATGTGAGGAGTGATGAGAGAGAGCATGTAAGGCATTATACTCATCTGACTGAGGTGTGGTCCTGCTCCTGAACTAGGTAACCTCCAGTAAAGCATTGCCATACCTGTTTGTTTCTGTGTGTCCAAGTACAGGTGGGATCGCCGCGTACCAGTCGTACCCATGGGGTAATATGTACAGTCAACCAGCCCTCCACCAGCGTGCTCAGTGTCCTCCAACCTACCCCCCCAGCATAGGAGGTACTCGTGATCACCAGCCTCCCTCCTCCACACTTCCTCCCCCTTCATTCTTTACCCATGGGCCCTCACATGCAAACCCCCAGTGCTCATTACACTCCCTTGCACATACCATCAGCACCAGCAGCTGCAGCACCAGCAGCAGCACCGTCCTCCCTCCTGTTTCCACCCTGCGTCCATCTCGTCTCAGAGCAGAGGTCACTCCAAATAAGGGTACGTCCCTGCTGCCTTCTCAGGTCAGCCCTGCCTCTCCAGAAAGTCATCCAGTGCCCTCTAGTGTCAAGATTGAGTATGACAGCCCTCGAGAGATTCACAGCCACTTCCACTGCGACTTCTCTTCCCCCATACATTTTTGAATTGTGTTTTTGTATCTGTGTGAATATGTCATGTGTTAACTTTAAGTGTTACTGCATGTCCATGTGAATTACTATTATAGTTACTTACTTCAGAAACATTAATGTTAGCAAGCTTGGCGGGGCTGCATTTAGTTTGGCTGCAATAAAAGGCTCATAGCTATGTTAATCCTTTATTTTGCATTCAGGTTGTTTTGCAATGTTTCAAAACAGGGCTTTCCAACATTTATTTTATGGGGCTATATTTTTGAGAAAGTTGCTTGAGGTGGATTGATTTCCAAACGCAATTGTTCTACTCCGTATGTGCCTGCATGTTCATAAATCATTCACATTTTGGTTTAGATGGGATCACCACCAAAGTATTTAGTTAGTAATAACTAATTAGCTTTGATATGTAAAAGCTTCAAATTTCAAAAAGGAAAAGACAGACCAAACAAGTTCCAGATAATGGGCTGGTAAATAATCATTTCAAACAGATATAGAAAACAATATACTCATTGTATCTGTGAGCAGATATGAGCCTTTGTTATTGTTTTTCTCAAAAGAAATATTCCTATTACGGGACCTAAAGCATTACACAGACGCTTAGCTTTATTTTGTCTGTTTTCAGTTTGCTCTCGATTAAAAAAAAAAATGTATACAGATATATTTATCTGTGACTTTGCACACAGTTTTGTGTATCTCAATACTGAAAAATGGTGGTGTTGGTGGACCAGTGTACCTGTTATCAGTAGTATTTTGAAAACCCTATTTAAAGGGAAATTTAAGTAAAGGCTAAAAACAAAGAAATATGTTATTCAGTTATGGATCCTGGCCTTGCAGCAGTCCACAGCTCGGTTGTTGTAAGCTTCTGATTCAGTTGAGATGTGCTGCTCATGTGTCTTGTCTTATTTCAGATCTGCCTTTAGGCCACAAGAGGGCAATGTTGCTTCATGTTAGTTGACCTAGACGTCACCTATTTGTGAGATGGGGGTTGACAGTTGCAAATCAGATGTAAGAGAAAAAGGACAGAGTAGTTTTATCAGATTAAACAATATCTAATACAGCCCAGATCCTTAATCTGTGTTGCCATCCGCTCTGTTTATTCTTAGTGTGCAAGTCCGTTGTAAGGGTTTCATGAAACCAAATCCCTGTATGAAACTCCGCCCCTGTCAGACTTGAAGGCATTTTCCTGAGACTAGAACAGACATGTGGGACCAGCTTGTCTTTTTTTTTTTTTTTTTTTTTTTGCTCTCAATGGTAAAAGTAAAACAAAAAGTTTCTAGTTTAAAACTAGTTAATATTCCTGCTCCATAGTCCTGCCGTATGTAAAGCAAAGTTTGAAGTGAGACTTGGATGACGATGTTGTGGGAATAAGAGAAGGAAGTGTTTGATGAGAGCAAGGAGGAGGTGGCAGGGACCAGGGGAGCAGATAAAGGAGAGAGGTGAGGGAGGGGATGAAGCAGTGTGATGGTCCGGGAACAAGGGAGGGAGGAGAGTCGAGATGAGCTGTTGCTAAGGGAGGAGGAGAGGATGATGGGTGGGCTCTGCCAGCGTTATGAGGGGGAAGGAGACGGGGAGGAGAGGGAAGGAGTGTGATGGAGGCACAGGGGGTTCTGGGATGAACAGAACGGTTGGTTATGTAACGGTTGTATTCAGGTTTTAATGAACCTCTCTCTTCCTGCTCACTGGCTACTGAGCTGTTACTGTTGGCAGGAGTGGTGCAGCATAAACCCACACACATACACACACATTCAGACATATAAGCACTTCTGTGCTGTGCAGAAAGTTCTCATACTCTCTTGCATAAAAAACGCATTCATCTCAGAAATGAAGCCCCAAGTGTTGGAGCTCTTTTCAAACTTGGTCTAGCAAAGTTTGTACTCTCAAGTTTAGTTTTATTTGTGTATCTGAGAAGCTAATTATTTGGTGTAAACCTCTCTTGGTGTCTCAGATTTCTTAATACTTCTTGCATGTGACTGAGGAGGGTTTCATGTAGGTTTAAGTTTGTAATTAATTTTTCCACAACTTCCCTGATGTGAACAGAGTGGGCTTAGAGCACAGCTGGATGAGGGCAAGTGTGTGTGTAAGCACATGTATTTGTGTGTGTGGATGTATGTGAATATATGTGAGAGGGTGTAAGTACTGGTATGGGATGCTTCAGTCCTCCCCTATTCCACCATGTCAATATTTGCTCAGTATTCTGAGATTTGAAGAAAGGGAACTTGTTTCAATATTTATGGATGTGGTCAAGTACAAAATCCTCGCAGTCTTTCCAAACCCTGTGCCTTTATTCATGTGCACACATACTGACAGAGGAAAAAGTGAAAGTAAACCTCACACCGCTTTAACACATACAGGTAACTGCGTTTATTGATATTAGGGGATGATATTTATTGATATAACTGATTGAAAGTTGTAATGTTTGTTGTTTAACAAAGCTGAGACATGGCTTGGAGATCCTACAGTCCTTTGGTCCTCTGGCTCCTGGGCCATCAGGTTGTTGATCTTTGGTTTGTTTTGAAAAGATACAACAAATAGACTGGTGTTGGGTTCAGAAAAAAAAAGGGAAAACGATGGAAAGTTGCTGTAGAAAAAAAAAACTTGCCCAATCAAATGAACAGATTTTCCCATCCAAATGTTGTGTAAAAATAAAGACAAACAGAGGAAGGTTCCAGATTTGACAGAGATAAAATATCTCACCTGACCATGTTGATATTAAACACTGGAGGTGGTGTTATTTGAATGTGGCTTTGTATAAAAATTACTAATGTCATGCAGTGTGGCTAAAACGGAGGTATTTGTTTTAGATGTTTTCCCCTTATGGGCTTGGCAATACTATTGTGAGTTTTTTATTTGTCTAAATTGAGCTCTCTGAGGCAGCAGGCTGTTGGCAGTGAAACAGGGTTTACAAGAACATTTCCATTTCCAGTAAAAGATAAATATGTCCTGTATTTATTTTACATTTCTGTTTTGGATCTGAAAAGGAAACAAACCAAGAGCCTATTAAAAACAACCGATAACACTTTGTGGCTATGGTGAATATACAATGATAAATGGATGACACTTTTGATACTGAGTATTAGAATCCAATAGTATTAGAAAACATGATGGTAATGAAAATGATGATGATATAATCAACAACTAATCTGCAAATGAACCCTTTTCATTAATACCAGTGAGTGTGTCAGCTATTCTCTCAAGTAATAGATTCTATAGTCTGAAGAACAGGGATTTAAATAATAATAATAATAATAATAATAAAGGAAATCAAAACATTACCAAAACTTCTGTTCAAATCACAGTTCTCCATAATTATACCAACTTACTCTCAGAAGAGACTCAAAACTAGCAGGACTAACACATTTCAGAATCTCATAGCTGAACATGGTTTTTTTAAAGAATTTACTGAACATACTCAATAACTAGTACTCTATTATTTTCAGATATTTTGGAAATTAAGATGGATTTTTCTGTTGGGCTAATCGTACATTTATTAAAGTTCTAATGTTTTCAATCAACCTTCTTGAGTGTCATCTTTTTTTGCTGAAAGTCAAAGTGAAAACATGTCCTGTCAACTACTTTCCTAGTGTTTCTCCTCACATCACCTTAGTTTTAAATTGCATTCATTAGTTAGATAAAGGATTGTCGTCATTTTTTTTTTTGATTCTCTTTTTATTGAATGTTTTTTTTAAATTAAAACAGAAACAGGCAATGGGAAAAAAATACAAGGAAAAACTCTAAACATAAATTATTCAGAGGCTATATGTTCCCAAGCCTGTCTGATTTACCTGTATACATTTTTAGTAAGAGAATACAGTATTTTATAAATTCCTGCCTGTTTATATATGTCTCTAAATACATACATATACACATATATATATATATATATATATATATATATATATATATATACATGCACTTACTCACATACATATACCCATCCTCACACATACATGAATACACATACTCAAAGTGCACATATACAGTATATACATACATACGCAAGTGCCGACCATATACATACATTATTATTATAATATTCCCCTTTTCTTTTTTCTTCTTCTATTTTGCTTTTTCTTTATTTTTTTTCTTTCTTTATTTTTTTTCCCATTTATGATTCAAAAACAGTTGTTCAATCGCAGATCAGAGTCAATACCGAGTCCTATCATAAAAGAGAGAAAAGGGCCCCAGATGATGTCATATTTGTGCACAGCGTCTATGTTGCTGGATATGACTTTTTCCAGTTTGGCTATTTTTCCAAGTGCATGATACCAGTCTAAGGTGGTGGGAGCTGAAACGTCTTTCCATCTACAGTATATTGTAGTCAAGGATTGTAGTCATTTGATGTTAGTTATCACAGAAATAAGCTGCTACTCAGGTCGCAGACGCACAGAGTTAAGTGTGTCTATGCTGTACAGTGTTGGGTTTAAAAAATAAATAATTTTTATAGTCAATTATTTTACAGATAATTCAGATCCTGGTTAAACATTTATGATTGTGTAAAGTTTGCGTTTTATTCCTAGACTTTGAAAGGTTTACAGCCTACAGCTAAAAAACAAAAGTTCAAACATCCCGCTGACAAAATCCAAAACTAACACCTCAACAGTCCTCCTCTGTAACTCTAATTATAAGTTAACAGGATGAAGAATTGTAAAATTTATCAAAAAGTTTCCCAACTGCTGATGGATGTAGGTAAAACTCATCCAGCTCCCTGCTTATGTTTTTGTTTGTCCAGCCTGCCAAGCAGACAAGGTTACATAACCTGTGTGTTTGTGAATCTGCTGTATATGTTTGCGCTTTTGCATGAATGTGTGTGTTTGTGTACGTATGTGTCTCCTGCAATAAGCCAAATGGCCATTCCAAGAGATGACACGCTGTCCAGGAATAACATCTCCAAACTTTCATCTTAACCAACATCACACACACACACACACACACACACACACACACACACACACACACACACACATACACACACGCACACACGCACACGCACTCACTCTCTGTTGATTTTACAGCTTGTCTAGTTCAGTAGGAAATTTGTCTGGTTAGTTACTGTACAGCCTGAGCCCCAACTCCTCCCCCTCCCTCCTAGACTTCTACCTCAATTGCGGCTTGTTTAGGACGTTTGTGTGGATGGAGGTGTGTGTGTGTGTGTGTGTGTGTGTGTGTGTGTGGAGGAGGAAGGGGGAGTGTAAAGGAATGCAGGGTTGGGTCGGGTGGAGCGGGATGCCAGAGAGAAAGAGGGGTCTCTATATGGGTCTGTATGTGGACCCTTTAGAGAGATTAAAGATGTGTATGTGAGCGTATTGATGAAAGAGTGTTTACTCCACTGGGGCCTGTTTCCTACCTGATGGTGAGGAAACGTGCAGGAAGAAGAGTTAGAGTTAAAGGATATGCTAATCATTTTGGCAAGAAGTCTTCATTCTCAATTTCTACATTTTTATACTACTTTTTTTTTTTGATACATTTGATTTGAACAAATTTAAACATCAAGTGTGAGGCTTTATAATAAAAAAAATGGAAAGATGGAAGCATAGGATTAAAACTTTGTGGAAGAAATGACCAAACAAGAGACAGAAAAGTAGTACACATAAGTAAAGTTATTTTGATACCAGTATCCAAATGGGTCTCTAATACCATCTAAAATGTAGAATCAGGTACTGGTGAGTAAGCCAGTCAATGAACCAATGAAATGCGATTGTTTTTAAAAACCAACAGTTTTCTCGGCAAGTCATTATGTGACAAAAAATAACAGTTTACTGCTAGTGTGTAATGTGAGCCCAAGCTTGTCAGATATTATCAACCAATGTTATTCCACCAATAATAGGTATATTCCTTAATCAGGCCAGTATGAGAGGAGAGCTTGATATCAGCCATTTTCAAGTCTACATGTTGGATGCAAAAATGTCTACTTAAAATATATCTAAGTCAAGCTTTAGGCTTGAAAAATCTACACAGTGGTAATTAGGATGGACAGTAGTGAAGCTAGATGAGAGGAAGTGACAAAAACAAGAGAAAAATGTAAAGTATAAAGCACATCTGAACTTAGCTGAACTTCAGAATACTTGAATTGGCTTGTATACTTTCAGGTTATACAGAAATACATGCTTATGCAAAAAGCACACGCACACATCCCAACGTGCAGACGTGCAGAGCAGCAGGAACACAGTATGCTGTGTACGGCGGCCCTCCTTCACTTCCGCACCATAAATGTGTGTTTGCTATAAGAGGGAACACGGAGGAGAAAAGAGGAATTCATGTTGGTGTTTATTTGAGCTTTGGCCAAATCCAACCTGGGGCGGCTGGGGCGGCTATGTTGGCGCACACTCTGCACCAAACCCCAGCAGCTCCTGTACCCCCTTCCAGACACACACATACTGTACACACTCAGATCCTGGAGCACACAAACATTCTGCTACTCTCCCTCTCACACACACACAAACTCATACCTGTCCGTCCTAGCCATATCAAGGTGTGTTTGTCTTTCCGTGCTCGCCATTTAAGGTCCTCCCCTAGCAGGTATTTCCCTCTCTTTCCCACACACACACACACACACACACACAAACACACACACACACACACACACACACACACACACACTGCAGCTATAGAGGGGGGCCGAGTGTGAAGCGGTTGCATTGATAACCTGCAGCTCACAGTCACTCAGTCTCACTTTGTGGCCGTCCCCCTGGCGTGGTGCTCCCTTTGCCTCTGCTCTATTTCCCCTCTCCTCACTCTTGGACCGTCTGTGGACGCGCTCAGACCCACGCATTAACTCGTCGACCCTCTGTCGCCGTCACCATGACGCCCTCCCCGCTGTTATTCCTGCTCCTGCTCGGCCTTGTAGGTGCTCAAGCCCCTGTGGACCTCCGCACGGCCGCCGCCATGGGTAAGATCGATGACCTTTAACCTTTTAAGCTGATCCTAACTATAGTATCTGATCATTTGATACCTGACATGTAACACCTCAGAACTGTTATTAATACATGATCATCTCAGACAAATACCTGACATCATATAACAGAAACAACATTTTAAAGGAACATTCCTCTAAATGTCTCATAGTCTCACTATGAAAGGACAGAACTAAGAGACAAGTAGTTGTTTTAGCAGAATAATGTTTTATTTTTAAAATGGTTCAGTTAATTTATTCTATACTGTGTCTTTACACAAAATAATTTGAATACACAGTTAAAATAATTTTTATACAATTTGAAGTAATTATATTTATTTATTATACGAGGTGATTCATTTGAAGTAATAAGTCAGCCAGTTTTTGAGTCAGCAGGATTTTTTGTATGTTGCTGGTGGATGGATTGGAGAAGGCACTATTTGAGGATGGAGCGTGGCATTTGGTACACTGTATGTATGTGATGGTGTGAATGTGGCAGGGAGGGAGGGAGAGAGGTGAAGGGTTAGAAGGGAGATCACCAGTAAGCAGACTGTTACTAAATTCTTTACATGTACACACCCATCAGTAAAACAGTTATAGATTGCTCTGCAGAAAACTGTATGGACCGAACAAAATTTAAGGTTAATTTTATCAGAGCTTTCCAGATAGTCGTATATTGTCATTCTTAGTAGATTATATCAATATTATTACCTAAAATATTTTCTGTATATTTTTTCTTAGTTTTTATCTTTCTGTCCTTTATCCTTGTTTTTCTGGACAAGTAGTTCTCCATCTCACTCCACCCCGCTCACCTCCCTGCATCTTGTTTTTCTGTTAACTCCCACTTTCTCACCAGCCTCCTCTATCCTCTCCACCCTCTCTGTTCTCCTCATGCTTCTCCCACCCTCCCACCTTTTTCTCCTCTTTTCATCAACCAGTTACCAGCAGTTTCCTGATAACTTTGTGTGAACAGTTGTTATGCAGACTATTAGCACATGAATACATAATGGTCTACTTCCTGTCTCTTCATGTACAGCGGCAGGTTTGTGCAAAACCCGTCCCACCGACATTGTGTTCATCATCGACAGCAGCCGCAGTGTTCGCCCTTCAGAGTTTGAGCAGGTCAAGGTCTTCCTTGCAAAGGTCATTGAGGGACTCGATGTCGGACCCAACGCCACCCGTGTGGGAGTTGTCAACTACGCCAGCCGCGTCAAGAACGAGGTATGGGTCAAAGTTAGCATTCATTAGCAGTGAGAAAAGTTTTATCCTAATTTAAAACTCAAATAACACTTACACTGTTATTATCCGACCTTAGGTGTCTCTGAAAACACACCGCACTAAAGCTGGTCTAGTTAAGGCTGTAACCAAGATCGAGCCCCTCTCCACTGGTACCATGACCGGTCTGGCCATCCAGTTTGCCCTGAACGTGGCATTCAGCGAAGGCGAGGGTGCTCGGGTCAAATCTCCTGATATTAGCAAGGTCAGACACTAATTTATATGCATTTACACTCAAAATTCAACATATTCCATAACCTTTATCAGGGTTTCTATCTCCTTTTTTTTCCCAGGTTGCCATTATTGTGACAGACGGGCGTCCTCAGGACAATGTAAAGGAGGTGGCTCAGCGTGCTCGGGATGCTGGGATTGAGATTTTTGCCATCGGTGTGGGCCGTGTGGACATGAGCACCTTGCGCCAGATGGCCAGTGATCCTCTGGATGACCACGTGGACTACGTGGAGAGCTACAGCGTCATCGAGAAGCTCACCAAGAAATTCCAGGAGGCCTTCTGTGGTAAGAAGGGAGTACAGAAAATGTAGTCTTTGTTTTGAGTTAGAGAAAGAGATAAAGAAAACAGGGATTAGTCTTTAGTGATGGGAATGTCTGTAAGGTGGGTAATAACTACCTATCATCCCTGTGGAGAAAGCAATTTGCTCCACCCTCCCCCCCCAATACTAAGGGTAAGGTGTCAGGACTGTCATCTTTTCATTCCAACATATTATTTCCTCCCTTTTGTCCTCAACATTACAACAATATGTTCATTCATTAGACCTCATTAAACATCCCCCCTGCGCAAGGGCATCAGGGCAGAAACAACCTCTTGGAAGGAAATTCTCTTCTGTTCTTCAGTTGGGAGGCGAGACTGATCTCTCTGTAATTACAGATCCATTAGTGACAATCATTAAACTTCTAATTTGCGATGCCCTTTGGCTCTCCCAGTCTGCGGCAGTTTGTGACTGCTTTCTGACAGCCAATCATGCTGCAGATGTCTCATCCAAGGGCAGAGCTGCATGATGGCAGGGATGGATTGTCGTTGGATGAGCCTGTGCTTCACATTTAGTACCAGATAAAACAGATGTTGTTAATGTTTACTCTTCCAATCTTTTCCACCTGTTTGTTTTAAGGATCCACTGGAATCCTGCATTACCCATACACACGTTTTTAAAGTGCAGGTAACAGTGGATCATTAAAAAGATTATACCATTTTCAAACTGACATAGTTTTATTCTCTCCTCCTAACCCCAAACGCCCAACCCCTTTCAATGTGTGCGTGTGCCTCTACATATATTCCACTGTGTGCGCTTGTGTGTTGTGCACGCACACGCACACACAGTGTCGGACCTGTGTGCCACCGGGGATCATGACTGTGAGCAGGTATGCATCAGCAGCCCCGGATCATACAAGTGTGCCTGCAAAGATGGCTTTACCCTGATGGACAATGGTCGCAGCTGCAGTGGTGAGTGTGTGTGCCCGTGTGTGTGCCCGTGTGTGCATGCATCTGTGTGTGTGTGTGTGTGTTATGTGTGATAATGTCAGTTCATGCACACTCACTGTGTTCATGGAGTAACACAACATGTGGTGTATCTGACGTCACCAGCATGCAGCAACTCTGCAACAGACGTGGTGTTCCTGATCGATGGCTCTAAGAGTGTCCGGCCTGAGAACTTTGAGCTGGTCAAGAAGTGGATCAACCAGATTGTGGACAAACTGGACGTTTCTGACAGCAAGGCTCATGTGGGACTTGTGCAGTACTCTAGCTCAGTCAGACAGGTGGGTCTCTGTCTAGTCACATCTAAAAATCTATTCCTTTCCCTCTTCTTAGAACATAATCTATCTCCCTACTGTAGGAGTTTCCCCTGGGCCGCTACAACAACAAGAAGGACTTGAAGGATGCTGTGAAGAAGATGGCCTACATGGAGAGGGGAACCATGACGGGTCAGGCTCTGCGCTACCTGACAGATAACAGCTTCAACCCCGGTCATGGTGCACGCCCTGGAGTCGCCAAGGTGGGCATCGTATTCACTGATGGACGCAGCCAGGACTACATCGGAGATGCTGCCAAAAAGGCAAAGGAGAATGGTATGAATAGATGTATAAAGTATAAATGGATACAACACAAAGGCTAATTTTACAAGTCAGATGAACTTGTGTGTTTGTTTTACAGGTTTCAAAATGTATGCTGTTGGAGTTGGCAATGCAGTAGAGGATGAACTGAAAGAGATTGCATCTGAGCCGACTGGAGAGCACTACTTCTACACTGCTGACTTCAAGGCCATGACCCAGATCGCCAAGAAGCTGCAGATAAACATCTGTCAAGGTCAAACATGATCATAACAGTATCTAAAATATTTGCAATATTACCATTTTACCCTACACGCTGGTATAAAAACATGTGCTTTCTGTTTCCATTCCACAGACGAGGACCCTTGTGAGTGTGACTCCCTCGTAAAGTTCCAAAAGAAAGTAGAAGATGCCCTACAGGTGCTAACAAAAAAATATATCCTTTTCAACAAGTGACACTGAAGAAAATTATAAGTAAGAGCTTTAATGTATTAATTTGTCTGTTTTCAATGTTGCTCTCCTTGACAAAAAATTACTAGATAGTATGTCAAAGAGGATCGCCTTGCTGGAGAACAAAATCGTCTGAAGACTCACACCCCACTCCTCACTCTACATCTACACACCCACTCCTCACTCTACATCTACACACCCACCTACATACGCACACACACAAACAAACAAACGCAATCACAAACACACTACTTCACACTACTTACATCCTGTAAAATACTGAAGAGGAACCCCATGTGTGTGTGAGTGTGTATGAACCCTGACCTCTGCTTGCATCCTGAGCTCAGCCCCCTCCTCACTCAGCCTCACCTCTTCCACCCTTGGGTCTCCCGGGACACAAAGCGCCGGTTGTCATGGGGACCACGCCTTTGTGTGTGTGCTCTCCGAAGGTCATCCTCCATATCCAGCCTGTGTGTTTGTTAATAAAAGTCTTCCCTCATAGGGAAACGGTATACTGAAGGTTTTTTTTTTTTATTATTGTTGCCACCACAGTGTTGTATTTCCCCCAAACTCCACAGAGTGTGTTTCTCTTTAAATGAGCTGCACATCATCCTCACCTGCTTGTTTATAACTCTCACTGTGACCTCTCCTTTTTTCACTTGTACCTGAAGGCTTCAACTGTTTTCTCTTAGCCCCACACAAAGGTATCTAATATTTTGTATGGTGTATATTTAAATCTATCCAGTTAATTTAATACAATATATATGACTTGACTGATCATACGGGTGCACCCTTGATGTTTTTTTTATTTTCCAAAATAAAGGTGATTCAGGAAGTACATATAACAGAATGTGAAACAAATGTATACCAGATAACCTTTACAGATACAGTCATAAGAAAAACCTTCTTTGACACAGTTTTAGACATAAATTCACAAATAAGTAAGTCAAAATAATACGTAGAATATTCCTATGGACTTCCTGAAAAGTATACGGGCTCTAAGGACCACAAGGACATAACAGGTGTTCAGCAAAATGGTCTAATAAAGATTGTGGTCCTTCACACTTCAGTGAAAATCTGCAACACAGTCTTTAAGGTATTACATTTTAACATGATGGCAGAGAAAACAAATGAAGAATGATTCATACTTCTTATAATTTTGTAGGGTACCCCAAAATAATTAAGTTATCCTTTAACCATTAAATAAACAAATATAAATATATGCGTGTTCCAGCCTTTCTAAATGTTCTGCTATTTTTCTGTTTCAAATTAGGAACCTGAAAAGAAAAAAAAGATTGTCTTGAGCTTTTCAAAATAGGTTAATGGACAAAAAGGAAAATGCACTGGTGACAGTTGCGTGGACAACAATTCTAATTTAATGTAAACATTCAGTTGTACATTGTGTATATTTTAAGTTGTATTTTATGTGTTAAATCTAAACACTTACAGAAACGAGTAAAGAACATGTTTAATTCGTGCTTTAGACTTCATCCTCAAATCGCTTCCTGTGTTGCAGCAGCTCGAGCTCATCAGTATAAAGTTTTAACTGCGTCACGATGACGTCACATCGGCAGGAGAAAAAATCGAGAACAGCTGAACGAAACCAGCGAGGAAAGCTCTACTTCTACTCTTACGAGCTCATGGAGACTGATTTTAAAGTTATATTAGATTGAGCCTTAGCCTGTGAGTTCAGTTAAAACATTAACCACTGGCTCAGAGAGTTTTTAAATCGAACTTATTCAACCTTATTACAGCATCTGGTAGCTAGGCTAACTTAGCAAACTAACCGGCAAACTGTCTTCACGGTCAGTTTGCCGGTGGGAAACCGTGTTGAAGGTGATCTGTAGGTGTTAATGATTAGTGAAACAGATGAGTGCGCAGTGAATAAAAGGAAGGAGGAGGAAGTCACAGAAACGGCGTGAAGGTTTACATCAAGCTAGCGGGTGCGTTATTACTAGGGCTAGCTAGCAGCAGTGTCAGGTAACTCGGCTGCTTCGGGATCACCTCCAGAGATGGATAACAATCCTGCTGCAGGGTCTAACTGCACGACTAACGGAGGAAACATCCTGCGTAGAGTGCCCGACTCCGGCCGCTCATGTCGCTACCAGTCCGAGTCCGAGTCGGATATGCACCCGTCCGTGAAGAGCTTAGCTCGGCTGTGCAGCAGGGACGAAGAGGAGCGAGCAGCGGCTCTGGAGGAGCTGAGCCAAGGTGTGATGATGTGTTTAGGAATAGACCAGTCCTGCTCAACACGACTGAACAGACAAACACTTCTGCATCTGCTTCGGCTTTCCCGATCGTGTCCGCTGCAGAAGGTACGAGGGAAAGCAACCGAGCTGCTGCGGACCGCACAGGTAATGCTGGAGTATTATTCACAGTCACATTCATAGTTAACATCTCCGACGGGAATGTCTCAATGCAGCTGATTGATTTAATATTAGGACTTGTGATTTGCTCCATTCGCTGGGTGTGTTATTAGTTGTTAGTCATCATTAGCCTCGCAGCTGATCATCCGTAGTTATCAGCTGATTATAGGTTCTATCAGATTGCTGGATGTTTCATCAGAACATGTCGGAGGTGATGCAAGACTCAGCTGCGGTGAACAACAAGCTGGTCGGACACGCCCCCTCCCGGCGCCCTAAAAAAACACACACAGGGACACACCCCCGGGTCGTCGTTTGTACTGCTGGAAATATATAAAGAGAGTCAGCCTTCGTGTGGCGTGTAAACAGTGTGACGATTTTTTTGGGGGGAAATAACGAGCTGTGTGTCTGTCTGCTATGTTCCGGTGATGTCTGTGAGTGTTTGGTTTCAGATTTGGTTTGGTTTCAGTTTTTATGGGCTGCAAGTTATGAAACGGGTCTCTGCAGTTACAGTTCAGCTCCTACAGCAGGACCCGACTGGTGGTCAAGTTCAAGGTGGATTGAAGCGACCTGCAGATTTTCTTGGTTTGCTTCGAATTACCATTAATAATACACGGAGGGTTTTGAAGAGTTTGAACTGGTTGATTTAATCGTCACTCTTGCACTTGTGTTAGTTGTAAGAGCAGTTGTGACATTTGGGTCAAAGTTCATGTTTTTATCTAAAAACTTTTGCATTTCAGTGCCACACGTGCCTAGTCCAAGCCTAAGTTCTAGTCCTGTCTTTGTGGAATTTGATTCTTTTCTGGTTTGATTTGGGTTGATTGCCAGATAAAACAAAACTATGTGAATAAAATTGTGATGAACATTATCTCAGGTTTTGCACATCGAATAGAGCAAATTTTGCACGAGAGTAACATTCATTTAACTCTATTATAATTCGCTTAACTTTGTCTTTCTTTCTTCCTCTAGGAACACGGAGTTGACGTCCCTCGGGCTCTGGCCTCAGGTCCAAGTGCTTTCATCAATGCCAAAGAGGTGTGCATGGACTGTTTTTCAAAATACATTCATTCACAAGTGGGCTTCTAATGAGCAGCTACTCACATTACAGACCTATTGATAATCACAGGCTGACTAGTTTGTTTGTGTTTTTGCCAGCCATCACAATAAATACAGATTCAAATAAATCAAACAGATGTAGTATAAGGAATTTAGATCACTTTTCTTCTGCAATACTGAGGTGTCTGTTGCTTCATGTCATCAGGTGAAGCAACCTCAGACAGGTGTTGCTAAAGCTGATGACTGAAAATATCATTTGCATATATGACTAACTACAAGCTTTCCACTGGAGAAAATGGGAGTGAATCCTCCACAAATATTTCCTTGCTCACACCTAAAATGTACTTCTAATGGTAAATAAAATTAGACTTTAGCAGTAAATGTTGTCCGTTTGTTTATGTGTTTCGTCTGGCTTGTTCTCTTTAGATGTTAAAAGAAGGGCCAGATCAGGACATCCTCATTGAATCTTTTCTTTCATCCGGTCGCGTGGACCATATCACCATGGTGATGGCTCTGCACCCTGCTTACCTCAGCTGCGTCCTCAAGACCCAGCATGCTTTGTTGGAGCTGGATGGCCCCTTGCCTCGTCACTGGAGACATTATATTGCTGTTATGGTAAGAACTAAGAACTAAGCTGTGTTAGTCAACAAAACTAAACATAAACAGTACCTTATGTGATGTTAGATATTTTTGGGCTGGTCGATCAAGTGCTCTGCTACGTAATTGTTACTTTTTAAATGCTTATATGTCCTCATATAATTTATTTAAGAAGGATGTAAACACAAATTATAAGTTGGCCTCTTGATGATAGAATTATGTTTGACTCGACTAGAAGTTTAAAAGTTAAACTGTTTTGAAGTTATACATTATCATAAGTAGTAATGATGTTTAGATTGCAGGCAAACGCTAAGACATTCCCAGTCTGGCCAGCTCTAGAGAACAATAAAGCTACCCTATTTAAGCGGAGTTAACTAGGGCACAAATTTAGATTTTAAAAGTCTTGGAAAGAGTGTAGGAGTAAGATATCTGTTGATCTGTAGAATCTGAAACCTCATTGATGATGCTCTAAAGAGAAAAATAACGGTTACAAGATGGACTTGATCATTCTATTTTTGAAGGATATCTACATGTTAAATAACAACGAGCTGGTTAAAGGTCAGCCAAATACTAATTTTATAAACATTTACTGACTCTCATTGCTTACCATATAGACTTCAGTTTCAGTAGACTTCACTTGAGAAAAGCTTTTTCTAAGAGTGAAAAGGAGCTGGAGGTGTAGTAGTTGAGTAAAGTTGCTTTGACCTCTGAGCCACACGTGCAGGTGCATTTTGTCGCTGTTACCCAGAGACCATCCTGCATTTTCAAAGGTTGGGGAGCCATGTTTATTTCCACCTCTTAATTCTTTCTGGTGTTTGTTCAGGCTGCGGCTCGACATCACTGCTCATACCTGGTGCAGCAGCACAGCACGGGCTTCCTTGAGGCCGGAGGAGAGGAGAGCTGGCTGGGTGACCTGAAGCACGCTCCAACCAAACTCCGCAGCCTGCAGACACTCAACAAGCTGCTGGCACACAGACCCTGGCTCATCACACAGCAGCACATCCAGGTCAGACACACCACCCACACACTGGCTGTCTCTTACTCTTCTGCTCTCTCTTTTCGTAGAATGATTTCATACACTCGATTTTGTCTCAATCTGAAATCAGTCTCTCATTGACTCACTGACTACTCCCTGTATAATAGTTTAATCTTTATTTAGCAGTACATTATGTTTTGGGACACTTGTGAATTATTATTTTTTATGTTTTGTGATGTTGCTCTGCACTTATTCTGTGGTGTTCATTTAACTGTATCCTCCCGTGTACTGGTGGTGGGCTTGCCATGTAGGAGCTGGTGTGTCCTGGAGCAGATCCTCGCTGGTCATTGGCTGAACTCATCCATGCTGTGGTCCTGATGGCACACGCTCATTCGCTCTGCTCGTTTGTGTGGGGCTGCGGCTTAAACCCTGAACCTGACCACATCGGAGGATACACCTTCCAACCTCCGTCACCTGGGCACCTTCCCCGAAGCCCTCATAGCCCTGCTCATGAGGATGGAAGGCAAGAGGTGAGTCTAATGCTTCTTTACCCCTGGACTGAACATTAAAGAGGTCAACATGACAATGACCGAGAGGTTTTTAGTTTTTCATTAATTTCAATCCAACATTTTTTAGACACAGCTCACTTCCCATTGTTAATAGACTTCCCATTTTTGAACTTCTAGCTGGTTGACGGAACGATGGAGGTGGAGGTGTTGATGAAGAGGATGGTGGAGCTGCAGCAGCAGCAGGAAGAGGAGGAATGCACGCAGGAGGAGATGGTTACTCGCTTTGAGAGGGAGAGGAGCGAGAGTATACCAACTGGTACAAACACAACTATTTACTTATCTCATGCACCCCTCATAATATTTACCTACTTGACATTTGTGTATTCACTACTTCCTCATTGTTTTGTTTGTTTAGCGGTGGTGCGGGGAGCACCACCTGATCTGGTGCTCCATCTGGTTGAGGATCCAGAGTTCAGATACGAGGACTTTGCTCCCAGAGGAGAGCAGGCACCTCCCACCATGAGAGCACAGGTATTTTGGAAATGAATCTGTTTTACACACACGTTCCAAAGTAATCTCTTTATACCTTTTACACTGTGCATGGCCTGTTAATGTAGATGTGTGTGTTGATGATGTTGTCTCGTTTGCAGGACTACTCATGGGAGGACCATGGCTACTCTCTGGTCAACAGACTGCTGCCAGACATGGGTCAGCTTCTGGATGAAAAATTCCAGGTACCCTCACTTTTGAACAGGCAGAATTGAATTAATACTGAACAATATGGTAATTAAAAGCTGTGAGGACTTATTAAGGACTGATGTTTGGTTCACACTCTAAGTCTTTTCCCCATGGAGCTTGATTAAAATGTTAACAAGATAAAAGTGGGATCTAATGTAAGCTACATGTCTCTTTAGTGATAAGGGAAAAAAAGTTGTGACAATTTACTTAGGAAATTGAGAAATCAAAATGATTCACATTTTTATCTTCAAAATTGTCCCCTGATCTTGTCATTTTTCCAGTGAGTGGACAGAGTGACATACTTGACAGCTCTACCTTTTCTTAATTTGCTTTGACTACATAAACTTGAACAAAGAATCTCAATTTGGCATTTATTTTTATAAAGGGGTTAAGAGCAAAAAATAAAAGGTGTTTTGGCGGCTGATGTTAAAGTATTCTACACCAAACACAGACCAACAAAGAGATCAGAAGTACATACTGTTGATTACAAATGACTGAAATGTAGTAGAATGTGAGAATAACAAAGGAAACAGATAATGTAAAGATGCATTGACTAAATGCTGTTTTAATACTGTTAATGAATTAGTGTGTTTGTGTTATAAGATGACTTGTTGTGTTTACAGGTAGTCAGCAACTTGACCTACCACAGGATGGCCATGCACGAAGGTGTTGACACTCACACTCTGAGAAAAGCTCTGTGGAACTACATCCACTGTCTATATGGGATCCGGTTAGTGTCACATGCTTGTTTAAAACTTAATGGAATTGTTTTGTTTTATTGGTTCATTCTGTTGTGACACTAACCGCGTTTTCCCTGTACCTGTGCAGCTACGATGATTATGACTACGGCAGTGTGAATGTGTTGCTGGAACGCTCTCTGAAGGTGTTTGTTAAAACATTGGCCTGTCACCCCGAGCAGACCACTGCTCGCATTTACCGCGCCTTCTGGAGACACTTCAGACACTCTGAAAAGGTATGAATGAGTTCAAATAATCCCTGACAGTCCCCTCTAAAGCGTATACTCGAAACATTTGACACTTTGAAGTGGTCTCTCTTAAACAGCTTTCAGAAAAAGAAACAGTACTTTGATTTTTAAGGATGTCCTCTGGTTTTCTTTTTTCCGTTTTAAATGTGTTTAAAATGAATGCTTTACAGACAGGACTTTGAAGAGAGACATCCAGTGTCCTGATAGTATTAACATGATTTTTTTGTTGTGTGTTTAATTTTCGCAGGTTCATGCAAACCTAATAGTGATGGAAGCCCGCCTACAAGCAGCCCTTCTTTACACCTTACGAGCCATCACTCACTACATGAGATGATGCACTCACTCCCACACACTTTTTGCAGATGCTGAGCCAGCTGTGATGTACCACAGCCCAATGCATAACACATTGATAGACAATCTTGCACACGCACAAACATTGGTGCGCACACACACACACACACACACACACATACACACACACACACACTACAGTGAATGTATATATGCATATCTTATGTGTCAGTGTTAATGTTTTTTTGATGCTGCTTTGCGCCTGGATATCTGAGGTTTAGAATTTGTTACTTATTATGCACTGAAGTTTACCAGGTTCTGTTTCGCCACTTGAGCCTCAACTGTCTGAATATCTATATATTGCACATCATACACCACTTACAGACATCTCTACTTGCTACGCGTCGGGTATGCTGGCGAAAGTAGGCCTGGATAAATAACTCATTATGATTAAAGTGTTTTCTTTGCAGATTATAGCTGTTTTCCACACCATGACTTCCCAAGCCTCAGACTCTGTGTCTGCAGCACATCGACTGAGATTTAAAAAAAAAAAAAGCAAAATAACTTGTATTTTTATATACAATAAAAGTTACTTTGTTATCGAAATCAAAACTTTGTGTTGTGAGAATGTATTCTCTCATTCGATATGGTGTGAAGAGGGTGGCTGCAGTCTGATTTTAGAAAGACATGAACCCAGACCTCTGGACGTTTGGCAGCAACGAGGTGCACTGACTCGCCAAGAGATGGAGACAAAGACTTGAAGAAATGTGAAATGACGCTCGACTTGACTGGAAGTCCTATCATCAAATTGAATTATGAGCACTGTCAATTATTTCTCCCCTATCTAGAGTAACAGTTATTTTGTTTAGTCAGTTTACGACTGAATGTGCTCGTTTATTCCATGAAGGAGAAGTGAAACCAAATCAACATAATCACGAGTTGTCATCAGGAGCATAACAAAATGCAGTTTCATACTGGGTTCTTTCGCGGATGTCACACTTATAACAGTCTTCCTGTAGCTCACACCAGAAAGTGAATGTAACACTTTGCACTTGCACTTGCTCTGGAGTCTGAAATTTTAAAACAACATGTCCAACTGAACGTGGTACATTATTCTGCTTACCATAGAACACGTCTACTTTAACAGACTGGGAAAGCGAATTACCCGCATCTCCAACAGATTGGCTAGAATTGCTTGCTTACCTTTTTCCTTACAAGCCCTATACAGCTGACTATTGCACGTGCGCGCTCATATAGGGTGGACACCTCTGGGCGCGTGGACGAAGCGCGCGCGCGTCCACTTGCTCCGTGCAGTGCGAGGCACCCATAGGAGACACCACTCACACTCAGCTCTACACCAGGACTGTCAGGGATAAAAGCTTTTATCGGGTCAGGTATGTCCGCTCCATTCATCACATAATGTTTGAAAATGTAAGATGTATTGTGTTCTCTTTTCTGAATGAGTGTTTTGTTATGTTTGAAGGACTTCCTTTTACCGTCAAACTTTGAGAGTTCACTTTTAAACATGATATTTACAGAAAGCTTCCCCTGCATTTACTACGCTGTGGGTTTTAATTCACTTCTTTATCCTGTAGGTGTGGAGGAAGTCGCCAGTATTTGACAACTCTTTTTAATTTTTGAAACTCAATGCAGATCATGTATGCTCCGCTTTCAGTTTTGATAATAAATACAATAGAAATAGGCCTAAAAATATTAGTAATATTATAAACAATAAAGAACTACACAGTACATTAAGATAAAGGAAGAAAAGAATGTGGATAAAAGCAGATGTAGAGTGCAAAGTCTGTTTCAACTTAAAAAAAGAGGAGACTGGACATTAGAAAGCAGATATCCCCCCTCCCTAACCTAGAGTTAGGTTTGGTTTGTAACACTACTTTTGTGTTGAACAGAAACTGAGTATCAATTATCACATTTCAGTCGAGGTAAGGCATGTATGAAGGCTCACAAAATCATTGTGGCTCTTTTCCTTACATTGTAGAGGATCTTCTCTGAAGTACAGTGAGATGTTAATTCATTGAGCCAATGTCTTTGTGAGGGAGGGAGGTCAGATTTCCACTTTATCAATATGTATCTTTTACCTGAGTTACTGGCCAGTAAAATAATAGTATCTTAACATTTCTGGCTAACAGGCAAACTATCCGGTACATGATGTTAAACTGGACAAGTCTGTGCTTTGTGGAGATCAAGAATATTTGTACCATTCAGCATTGTGTATGATTTCATTCTGATTCTCGTTCATGTGATTGGGTGGTTTCTCTTCTCAGGAGACTTGTTGTTAAGGATATTGTATATGACAGATGTTAGACCTCTGGTCGAGGTACGGGAGGCAATTAGTAACCGTTTCCTCAGAATAGTTTCCCCTTGCATAAAGAAATGTAGTTGAGTTTGCTTTGACCCAGTGTCTGATTTCCAAGTAACAAGTTTTGTTGAGGCAGTTTATATGCAAAAATCTTCCTACCTCCTGTATTTAAATCTCCACCAAATGCCTTGATCAATCCATATTTTGATCATGTTATCTGCTAAAGGAGTTGGAATATTTGGGTTATTCCAAATTTGATTGTTTTTTAGAAAGTGACCCCTTGGGTTTGAAGATGGAATTGGCCTCCTGCCATGAGATAAATGTATTTAGTGTTATTGGCTTGTTGTTGATGAAACTGAGCACGCCTTTGTTACTCAAGAAAGGAACTACGTTCAGAGGAGTTATGTGCAGTTATTGTTTCTAGCGATAGCCATCTTCTCTCCTTGTCTTCTGAAGCAAACAAGTCCAAATTGGCTCAAACTCGGATGTAAGGTGAGATTTGAAAAATCAGGGAGGTTAAAGTCGCCTTTCGAATAAGGTTCTGTAGATTATTAAACTTGACTCTTATGAATTTAGGTAAAAGATTCATCTTTATTGTGTTCGAGGACCGTGGTAAGTCATCCATCGTTTTAGATTAATTTGGCTTTGTACCAGTAATTTAATATAACTTTCAGTGTAAATTTTAGCAGCAGAATTCCCAACTTATAGATTCTGAATTATTGGAATCATTGGGAGACCATTTAAAAGGTGAGGTAGTTTGTTTGGCTATTGTACACATTACATGGCGAGGTTTTAAAAAAACCTTTTATTGAAGTTTAACTTAGAGCCAGACACAGTGCTGTAATTCTTTGAGCAATCTAAGAGAAGGGGAGATGAGTTTAATGAATCTTAATGGTAAAAGATAAACAGCATACAATTCTACCATATGCTCAGTGAATCCAAATGTTATTCCAGCAATGGCCAAGGGTTCAATAGCCAGGTTAAAAAGTAATGGTGAGGCTGACATCCTTGATGGCAGCTCCTCAAAAGGGAGATAAAGTTAGACAGAAATCTTGCCTTTGGAGCATTGGAAATTGTTTCAACATATTTCATGAATTTAAATCTAAAAGGGTCTCAAAAAGAAATGTAGGTTCGATTCTGTCAAAGGCTTTGAAAGCATCCATTGAAATGACGAGTGGAGGGTAATTTCTTTTTTTTTTTGGTCTCCAATGAAGCCTGTAACATCAGCATGAATGATTTTTGGAGCAACTTTCTCAAGTCAATTTACAATCAGTTTGACAGATCGTCAGCATTCATTAAACTTAAAGGCCTGTAGGAAACAAAGTAATGTTTGATTTTTACCTGGTTAAGAAAGTAGTATTATAATTGCCATTTCTCTTCTGTCATGACTATAAGAACATGTTTGTGAGAGGAGATGTCAGTTTACTCAGAAATGCTTTATAATATTCAATAGGAAAGCAGTAGGGGCCTGGTGATTTATTATTCTGTAGTGAAGTCACAGCTTGGCAGACTTCTGCTACCACTGTATCAGCATCAACTTTTTGTCTTCAGTTTCGACCCTTTTCAGTTTAGTTGCCAACTCTTTAAAAGAAAACTAAAAAGTCTGTGTAACAAATGATGTAAAAAGACATACAAGTAGCACCATTCAAACCTAGATGAGTATATTAATTTTTATCGTCCCACCTCCTTAGAACTGTGTGTAAATTGTGTTTGTTCAAATTGTGTAACTTTGGAGTTCTTACTGTTAGATAAAAGGAAGTTTGGGTATCATCGAGAAGTTAATAAAGTGCAGGCACAGTACTTCCACTCTTCATGCTGGTCAGACACCACAGAGAATAAAACTAAGAAGTCAAGCAGTATTGAAAAAGTGGAATTTACCAGAAATTTTGGTCAGCAATCTTTAAAGGTGGGACTAGTTCCCATCAAATATCTTGTGTTAGAAACAAAGACTATCAGTTATTGTTAAATCAAATAGTCTTATATGAGATCTGGATTTTTAGCACACACACTGACTGTATCATTTGAGATCTAGTGGATGTTTTCGCTGCATGTGTCCTGCAAATGTTTAAGAAATGTCCTTGTGTAATATCAAGGCCTAATGCCCAACACATACAGGAAACCTGCTTAAGGAAAAGGCAGGGCTGGATGTTTCCTTAACATGTCCGTCTATCTGAGGACTTTTGAAGCCATTATGAGGTTATTGATGTCTGTGCTTATTCCTTCATCATGACAGGGTGCAGGAAGGTCGCATAGTCACACCTCCACTTATATTTTAAATAATCCAACTTTTTATTGTTTGTTTCTCTCCTCCTTTCAAGTGGGATTGTATGAAGGTGTTTTCGTAGAACTTTGAGGTGGAATTGAAGAGAAGGCGCCATTAGGCTGTCCAAGGCCGGACCTCATCATCACTTCCTGTTTCTTTACGAGGTCAGTTCCTGTCTTTAGCCTCGGGGTTAGGCAGGAAGGAAGGGGGTGTGGATATGTTTAAGTGGGAGGGTTACAAATGGACGTAGCCACTGTCATAAAACCTTCCCACAAACGGTGACAGATTTTTGTTGACGTCTGATTTCTGACGCTCCAGGATTGAGTCTTTCAGCTGATTTTGTCCAGGTTTTGAAACTTTTGGTTACTGTTACGACCTGAGGTGGGCTCTCTTTTGTTTCCCTGATAGGAACAAATCCCAGAGTTAACACTGTTTAGTTTCACTCAAGTCACATAATTGTTTATGAATGCCTTCCAACAAGCCATCGAAGTGCTCTGTATCTGGAGGATGTGGTGACCTCATGTGGAAACAGGACGTCCCGATGACCGAAACACCTTACTTTTCCATTGCTCTCCCCCTTCCCTTCTGTTGTCCCACTCCCTTCAGAGTGTGTGTATGTTTGTGCTCCATGTATGATTGTGTGTGTTGTGCGTATGTGGGGTTCGGTGACAGCTTGCTTCCCATTGTCCTAACATTCTTGCTGCACTCACATTTTTCATCCTCTGGGGCTTCCTGTTAATGAGAAAGAGAAAATAAGAAGGTAAGAAATAGATGCAGGAACAAGCAAAAAAAAAAAAGAGGAAGAGGGGCAATGGAGAAAGTCTGAGCAGAGAATATGTGTAAGTACAGAAACTTAACCTATTTGAACAACTTGTACAAGTGTGTGTATGTGTGTGTTGCTCTGTGTCCCCGCTGGGAGCAGCTTATCTGCAGTCCACTGTGCAGGAAAGGGTGGGTCCTTTGGATTTGGATGTTTGCAGGCTCAACGATAGAGGGTGAGGTTATTGTGATTTTATAAGAGTGCACTGAGTGTGTGCTAATGCTTTGTAGCAGAGACTTTATTTGCTTCCTTATATCAACTTGTATTACGACTTATAATACTACTTTACCACATTTAAGACCGAGATATTGTACTTTCACTTATTCATGCCAAAACCAAGGGTGTAAGAGGCTTTTTCATAGTAAGACTTTACTCACAAAATATCTAATGTATGATAGAAAATGCATTACTATAGAAGGAACATTCAACTTGACCAACTGCAACATGAAACATCTGCCTACATGATAATGCTCAAGTTATAATCAACAGAAAAAATAGAACAATGAAACTGAAATCAGTTCTGTAAATTTAGCTTTTTTTTTTACTTGCTGATAATAATAGAATACTTTTTAAAAACATTTTGTGAAAAGTGTTACGCTGATTATGAAACACAAGAAACACAAGTTAATACTGATGCTTCTATATGACCTACAAAAGCTAACGAGACCAACTTGAAGGAGACTGATGTTTCCATATAATTATTTTCAATGACTGTAACAGACAGAGCAATTTAAAAATACATTTAAAACAAAGCTTCAATAAGCTTTTTTTTTATTGTTTGAAAGATTAATATACGCTTATGAGTGGTGCAGGATGAGTCATCAGACTTTTGAAATGTTTGACAGAAGGAGAAACTACAGTTAATAATAGTATTTCTTCTCTATCTGCAAGCTGGTATACAAATCTGCTGTGAAACCCCCGTCATTGAAGTGGTGTTTAATATCTAAACAGCTAACTAAAGAAGTACTTAACCCTCAGTGGAGTGGGTATAATTGAAAAAGTTGTTTTTGGGGTTAAACTGTGGCAAGAGCAGAGCTGTGATAAAACAATGACATTGCTATTTTGTTGATACACCATCAGGAAGTTTTGCAACCAGTAGCAGAGTGACAAACTGTTTTAGACTAGATCCCTTTTCACATATGGAGTCAAGACAATTTCCAGATCATTTCAGGACTTTCAGGACTTTCTGGTCCTGAAATATTCCAGATTATCTTAATTTTACGCACTCTCACAAGTCAAGATACTCCGTATGGTGAGGGTGCAAGAGGAGGAGGAGGAGAAGGAGTCTCCTAATACTGTCTGTTGGTTTATATCTCTACAACATGTTTCTGGACCCTCCAACATTACAATGCAGTGAAAGAAAAGATACAAAATATGGACAAAATGAGCACAACACAGCATGGGACAGAGTTATCATTTAATCTCGGTTGTCTTGTTCTCATGATCCTTGGAAGCCAAAATCATAACTTAAAGGGGTCATATTTTGCTTTTTATGGTTTTATATGCCCTTTAGTGTGTTTTCCGAGTGTCCTGTGCATGTTTAGGCACATCTATTTGCAAAAATTCAAAGTCCACGGAAACGCAGCTTCTCCTACGTCCTCCTGTTAGCTGTAGCATTAGCTGCATGTAACGCTCGGTTCTAGCCCCCCTCGAAAATGTTTTGCCAGTGTGATGTCTTGTCAGTGTGAGATCACTGATCTAAGCCCATTGGCTCGTTGTGGCAAGCCCTGCAGCTCATGTTGCACGCCTGTTAACTTCTGTAGCACGCCCACGATATGCCGTAGCCTGCAGTAGCACAGTAGTGCTAAGCTGCTAATGTTTTTGCTCCCTTCGGAGCCAAAGTGGCTGAATTCCCAATATGGTAAAAGGAGCGTGACATTTCCGAGAACCGTGCTGAGCAACTGACCAATTACGTCAGAGCCTACAGGCCGACCAATCAGATCAGACTTGGCACACGTGGGGACTCTGAACGTGGGCACTTCAGAGCCTTAGAGAGAGAGTCAGAAGCGAGCCGGTGCATGGAGCGGCAGTACATGAACACAGACACGTTTTTAGAACTTTAGCTATTGTGAACATGCTTTAGTAGGTACATAGATTCAATATATGAGCCCCAAAAAGGGCATAATATGACCTCTTTAAATTGTAACTTCATTAACTGCGCAGCACTAGTGAAGTGCATGTACAAAAGGGTTTCAAATGAAGGGCAGTGTGTGAACAAACATTTTAAGCCACACTGTATTCACCTGGTAATTGTGTTTGCATTAACAAAACTTGAGCTTATTACTAAAATAGTTCATTAGTGAAAGTAGTCATTAAAGTTTGTTGCTTACTGGATCACATTTGTGTTCTTGGTTTTAAAAAGCAATGAGGAACTCAAATCGATCTTAAAAATAACTTTGGTGTGGCGGGTGCATATGCAGGCTTTTGTCACACACACAAACTCTATAAAGGCAGCAGTGTGCGACCGAATAAACCACCCATTCCTGTCACAGACTCTCTCTCCTCTAGTACTTTAGATGTCTTTGACTGATCAGAGGATATACTTACCTTTTAAACCAAAAACATGAAGAACATATGGGTGCACAGTTGTTTTGGCTCTATTTGCATGCTTCACTAGTGAAGCCTTGCTCCTGTAGGGCGTGCACCATGCAATCTTCTGCTGCCTTAATTTGTGACTTTCTGTTTTATGATAGTCTTTTCTTTTTTGTATTAACACCTCAGATAAAGTGAATCATCAGACTGCATTTATGAATTATCAAAGCGTGTGTGCAGAGAGGAAGAGAGCAAGAACATTTGGTCAACAGGAATCTCAGCGGAGAACAATGACTGTCCGGCAAACAGTGTGTGTGTGTGTGTGTGTGTGTGCGCGTGCGTGCGTGCGTGCGTGCGTGCGTGCGTGTGTGTGTGTTATATTGTTATCTTTCTGAGATAGAGAGAGTCAGAAGCGAGCCGGTGCATGGAGCGGCAGTACATGAAAACAGACACTTTTTTAGAACTTTAGCTATTGTGAACATATTTTAGTAGGTACATAGATTAAATATATGAACCCCAAAAGGGCATAATATGACCTCTTTAAATTGTAACTTCATTAACTGCGCAGCACTAGTGAAGTGCATGTACAAACATTTCATACCACACTGTATTCACCTGGTAATTGTGTTTGCATTAACAAAACTTGAGCTTATTACTGAAAATAGTTCATAAGTGAAAGTAGTCCTTGCCACAAAAAAAGACATAAAAAGAAGATATGAGAGACTAAGGTAAGATAAAGATGAAAGGGCGGAGGCATCTTCTTCTACTTCTTTTTGAGCTTTATCACAAACACAAAGATAGGTCAGATAGTATGAAAGGTTATTGTTGAAGGGTGTTGGCAAATGTAAGAGTAACAGAGAGGAAGATGTGTGATTGTGCGTATGCGTGTGTTGGGGGTGTTTGTGGCCCTGCAGCTGCTTGTTGTTTTGTGTGTGGATGGACTGTGTCCTGAGTTTCCAGGAAAAGGGGGGAGCCATCAGAAGGGTGGACAGGAAACTCAAACAGGGCTTACTTCCTTTAGCTCTCCTGATGGCCAGCCTGATAGTGAGTGTGTATGTGCGTACTTGGGCAAAAGTCAAATTTTTGCACATTTTGGCCCTTCTGGATGTAGCCTGTGATAGCTTGTGTTACCTTAAGACTCAAAGGTATTTCTGGGAATCACCACTGTGGATGATACAAATCTTGCATCGTTCATTGGGAGCTCTTGTGTGCGTCTTTATAATGAAAGTGTTGGTTTATGTTGTCACTCCCTGTTGTAACCTGTGTTGTTCTTCCTTTGTGTGACTTCCCTGGAATTCCTCAGTAGGCGGGAAAGCTGTTGCCTGAAGTTAAGGCGGCTTTAATTGTTGCCAGTTTGAATCGTAAGGCCTTATGTTTCCTATTTGTTAGCATGCCTTTTAAACTCCGGTCATACAACAGAGCTAAATGTTAAAATGATCAATTTTTGTTAATAGTTTTCACAGGTATTGATTCTGATTTATGGGTATGAAGATGGCAATTCTATAATTGGGTACATTATCGACTCTCTTGGAGCTAGGCTTTCCTGATGAAATGTTTGCGTTAGAGTACCTTATAAACTCTTGGCTTGCAGCAGTACACATGTCGAGATCTTCCTGCAAAAACCTTCCAAATAGACGTGACTGGCTGCAGAAGTCTGTGCACACAATTAAAATGTTTTACAGTGTTCTCTGTATGTTATTTCCTCTGCTGGTTCAGGCTTTGTCAACACAAGTTCAGTTCAAACAATGCAGCTCGCTAAAAAAACTGGAAGTCAGAATTATTGTGTATGCATGAACACTTTGTGAAACAGATTTGCAGTGACTGTCTCTGTGTCAGTTATACCTGTTTAATGATGACATTTACAGTTAGATTTCAACACAACACCAACTCTCTCTCTCTCTCTCACACATACGCGCACACGCACACACACACACACACACACACACACACAGCTTTTGACCAGAGCGAGTGACTGAGGGCTCTCTTGAAACTGCACAGCAAAAAAGGAAGTGGCTAACCTCACATCTCTCTTTGTCTTTCCCTATCTTGAACTGTCTCTGTCTGTTTTTTTCTTACTTCTCTGTCTCCTCTCGTCTCCCTTCACACATCTTCTTATTCACGCTTTGCCACCCCTGAGCCTTTCTTTCACACTCTCTATCACCTCTTCTGTCTCTGTGTCTCTGCCACTCATCCTCTCATCCTCCCCTGCCCCGCTCTCTCATCCCAGCCCTCGTCACTCACCTCTTGCCTCTTTTTTTTTTTTTTTTTTTTTCAGTGGCGATGCTGATTGACAGATGATTTGAAAGAGGAAGACATCAGGTGAGAGAGAAGTGAACTTCTTCTTCCTCCTTAAACTTTTTGTAAGTAATCTCGCTGCATTTTTTCAGAAATAGGTGCTTACAGAAATTAAAGGGGCATTTCTGAGATATACGCATGAAGGTACAGCTCATCATGGGAGACTCTCTGTGGCTTGAGCAGCTTTCCAGTGTTTGAATTGTTAACCCTTGTGATGTCATAGTGATGTCTTCAGGGGCATCAAAGATTTTGCATGAGACTTCAGATTATTAGCGTTAAATGGTAGAGATAGAAAATGTGGCTGTTAATCAGGCAGTGGTGGTCCGAGTCAAGGTTTTGTTGTGTTATATGTGTGAAATGTAGGATCCTGCCTTTGTGTGGCAATGACTCAACCTATGGCTAAAAAGGCTGTAAATTTAAGACTCCGCTGCTTGAATTTGGCCTACCCTTTTTTTGTTGTCTTGATTCGATAAACTATAAGATTAAACTTTTATCTATCAGAGATGATACATTTTGGTTGACCGTGCTCCTTAATTTTATTCTAAGATTTAAAAAAAAGTTTTAAAGATTTTCTTTGGCCCTTTTGCCTGTATTAGATGGGACAGCTGAAAAAGGATAGGGAATTTGAGAAAGAGAGAAAGGGCTGGTTAAATTATTGCACTAAAGTGCCAGTCGAACTTGCGGCCAATGTGTTAAGTACTGAGCTAAGCAGGCGTCCATTTAAACTAACTTTTGTTTTTATCTCTCAACAAATATATTCATATATGAAGAGAAGAAATTTAGACATTGACACATGAAATAATGTGGCATCAAGTGTCTTTAACGCTTCCTGTTCTCACAGACGCTGTCTCTGCGCTGGTTATTATGGGGTGTGTCTGTTGCAAGCGGAAAAAGTCTGCCAAAGAAGCAACATCATCAGCAGACATTGCAGATCTGTCTCCTAGCAACGCAGATGGAGTGTCGTCCACGGCCTTGACTCAGGGCCGTTACTGCCCGGACCCCACTCAGAGCATCCCGGACTTCAACACGGGCTTTTCCTCCAGCGCTATCTTCGCCAACACCAACACAAACCAGCGGCCTGGAGGTATTAGTCTGGACGAGGACTGCGTGTGTGTGTGTCAGAAATGATTTGTTTCTATCCTACTTTTGTGTTTTCTCAGTTATGCATCTATAAGCCTGTGATGATTGTCTAAATAATTAGATACATTTATAGTAAGAGACATCTGGGCAGATGTGGGTCAGTGTGTTATAATCGGTCATCGTTTAACCGGAAGGTCTGGGGTTCGATCCCTAGCTCCTGTAGTCACATGTCGATGCATCCTTAAGCAAGACACTTAGCCCCAAGTTGTTCCACTGATTTGTCAATGTGGTGTGAATATTAATAAATGTGATTAGTTAATACTGATGACCACTTTACATAGCAGCCGCTGCCATCAGTGTGTGAATAAATGTGAATGGTAGGTGTAGACCTGCAGTGTAAAAACAGCTTTGAGTAGTCTGTACCATCATGTATCTTGTGATTGTGTTTCTCTGTTAAGCAGTATTTTTTTAAATACTATAGAAAATTTAACAGATGAAGAAAACTCAACCATCCCTTTGTTTCATTCTGTCATGAATCAATGCTCACTTAACTATGACTTGTATTGAGAAAAAAATGCATCTTAAAAATTAACTTGAAGGTGTCCCAAGGCTTTCTTTTTTAGAAATCTTGCCAAGTTACTGTTACCACAAGATACACTCAAAGTTTCCTTGCTGAGATGCTGTGAAGGAGCAGTACGCCTCACATTAGCTCTTGTTGAAGGAGTAAATTCATTTTTTGCAAGAAGAGAAGACTTTAGATTTTGTTCCCTACCTATTACACTTAAATCATACTAGAACTGATCTCTTAGGATGAACAAAAGGAACTCCAATAAATGAGCATTAGACAACAAGTTATTTGAGAAAATGTGTACTTGTGTTTATGACATTTTATAACACTATAAATCACCCTTCCGGATTCTTTCAGTTGAGTTGTATGAACGTATGTGTTTTTAACTAAAACATGTATCTCTTCTCTTTTCTAATGTTGTGTGTGTATTTATGTCTCTGTCTGTATTTCTCTGCAAACAGGTGGTGGAGTCACTCTCTTTATAGCTCTGTATGACTATGACGCTCGCACTGAAGATGACCTGACGTTTCAGAAAGGAGAGAAATTTCAGATCATCAACAACACGTAAGTATACATTTTCATAAATATAGCTATATGTTTAATGCCTTTGTTATTTTAAGGGGAACCTTGATCAGTTGTATTAATAAAAAGGCCATTAATACATTGGTGGCTGAGTATTAAACTTAAACTTCATGTGATCAGATTCAAATGTGTTAAATGCGATGAGTTATAACTTCCAAAATGTCATTAATTTGTTTACAGTGTTTAAGTTTTAAATGTTGCTTCCTGCCAAATGAGTTGTTTGGAATGTACTATTAATGAAACATATTTTGTTTTAATGTTATTTCAATGTAGACAAAGGATATTTTGTACTTTGATACATTTGAATTAAAAACAATATACTTGTGCCCCCTCATCCTTATTATGTCCTCATGCCCTACTGAGAAGTTACATAATCTACCACATGGCCCTCAGTTTACCACTGCAATCCAAACAGCATTTCCACCTTGATCATACCCAGACTCTGTTTGTGCGAGTAAGCCAGGCAGTGACAAAACAGATACCACCTACCACATGGCCCTGTCTACCCCCACATCTCAACTCTGTGTTCACTGTAAGAGCCAGGACATCTAGTTGTCAAGTGGGATCCTCCCTTCTCTGGTGTGATGTCTAGTTAGTCCCATGATACCTCTGGAAGACTGTGACCTGTATGGGGCTGGCATGGTCTGGTTGTTCTTACTCCCAAATTTCTTGAGGGAAGATAAGAGAACAAAGGCGATAAAGGGGTTTCTCCTACCTTTGTATTGGCCCACGAACTCACATTATTTCTCCTCACCTAAATCCACTGACTTCTTAAATTCTGTCCAGAACTCCCAGTCCTCCCATTTATGCAGTAGTTGATTGTGCTTTGAACCCTCTATTGGACTAATCCTAACTTTCCATCCACACTGTTTAGCTTCTGCCCCTAAACTTGCATATCTAAGTTTTTTTCTTTACTTTGCGTCCTCCCAGGGAACTTTCAGTTCAATAAAATAAACTATCTGCTGACTCAAAGACCATATTACTATCAGGCCTGAAGTTAGAGCAAATGATTTCCTGTGGAACAACAGGTTTTCCTCCTAGATCTACCTGCATCTCCCAATCATGAGCACTCTTTAGGTGTCCTCACTCTTGCCTGCTTAAAAATCTACCTACCTTATATTTCACTCCCTCACAGACAAATTGAAAAGCTGCACTCTTTTTCTGAATATTTCCCAAGTTTACCTGTCATCTATAACTTTACAATTTGGCTGCTAAGCTTTTCAAAACCGCCATGTCGCCATGTATACCAACCTTCTGACAGACTAGACTCACAGCCTGCCAGAATGTCCCTCAACGTAGCTATCTCTGAACACAGTGGGCACGATGGGTCCCCGTCTACCCACTATTTAGGTTTTGGATGACCTATTTATTCTACAGGTCCCTCCAGCTAAGCTTCCTCTTCTCTACACTTTGCCCGTTCACCCACTGTCACTGCTTAGCCTGAGCAACAGCCATGTTCTCCTCACTACTTTCTCTTGTCGACATACATGTATTACATACAATCTTAGTATGTCTAAGGGATTCCTTTGCTTCCTGAACTGTTTGTCTTTGGCTCCATTTCCATCCTCTATTCCACGTTACTAACCAGCTCATCTTTGCTCCCTTATTGCAACTCAACAACCCTGTCCTGCCCTATGGACACTTGAACTTCTCACTTTAGTGTCATACTTGACTGTATTTTAACACGCATATCATTGTTTTGTATGTGTTTTTTGCAGGGAGGGTGACTGGTGGGAGGCTCGGTCTTTGGACACGGGCAACTCAGGTTACATACCGTCCAATTATGTAGCTCCTGTTGACTCCATACAGGCTGAAGAGTGAGAAAACACACGCACACACACGCCCGCACACACACACTCACACACACGCCCGCACACACACACTCACACACACGCCCGCACACACACACACAGCAACAGCTGTTGACAAGAGCAAATGACAGTGGGCTCTCTTGAAACCGCACAGCAAAAAGGGAAGTGGCTACACACCCACACACACAGATGCAATTTTTAATTTAATTTTATTATCATTTATTTTAGCAGAGAGGACCCACTGAGACCGAGGTCTCTTTTCCAGGGGTGACCTGCAGCAATAAAAAAATAAAAACAGCTCAAATACATATAAACAACAATGGCATAGACACCGAAACACATATTCATACTCCCAAACCATGTCAATTTCAATGATTTCACATTTTAAAACAGTTGCAATTTCCTTCCTTAGGTAGTTCTTGAAAAACGCAGTATGAAACAAGAGAGGTCACTTACTGTAGCTGTCCTCTGAAAGTTATTCCACTTAACGGGTGGAGCGACAGCAGTCTTTCCCCATTCAGTCCTAAACCTTGGTATTTTCAAAGTGATCCAATTTTGATATCTGGTTGAATGGCTTGAAATGTTTAGAGATAATCCTATAAAGAAACCAAGTTGCGGTCTTATTTTTCCAGTTAGACAAGAAATGTGAGACCTATATGACAAATCATGACCTAGCCAGATACCTAAGTATTTAAACTGTTGGACACACTCAATTTTTACATTGTCTACTGTTGACAATGTAGCATTAATGGGTTCAATGTTCTGTCTTGAGAAGATCATATATTTAGTTTTTTGTGGGTTCAGTATCAGTTTAAGATGAGCAAGAGTTTGCTGGAAAGAGTTAAAATTGGTCTGTAGCAATGAAAGGGCTTGAATATTTGAGGGCGCAGTGGCATATAATATTGCATCATCAGCATACAGATGAATTTTACAATTTTCAATATTTTCTGAAATTTTATTTATATACATTGTAAATAGAAGTGGCCCAAGGATAGATCCCTGAGGTACTCCTTTGCTGACCTCCATGAAGGGGGACTTGACATTATCACAAAGCAGTGAATGTATTTTACTTGCACTGATGATTTCTTTAAGACGTGATATGAAGTTTTCAGGCTGGGTTCAAATGATGTGAATTTAATCTGTGTGTTGTTGTCATGACCACAGGTGGTATTTTGGGAAGATGGGGAGGAAGGATGCGGAGAGACAACTGCTGGGTCAGGGCAACCAGAGGGGTACTTTCCTCATACGAGAGAGCGAGACCACCAAGGGTCAGTAGACCACACTTAGAAAAACACACAAGAAAAATAAAGTCTTCATTATCAGTTACTGCTCTAATTTGTCTAAGCTTTCTGTTTTTCTCTGGGTTTTTTTTTATCCACCTTTCTTTACAGGTGCTTACTCTCTGTCTATCCGTGACTGGGATGACAACAAGGGAGAACACGTAAAGCATTATAAGATCCGCAAACTAGACAACGGTGGTTACTACATCACTACCAGATCTCAGTTTGACACCGTGCAGCAGCTGGTAGAGCACTACACAGGTAACCCACATGCACACAGCCACCTGCTTCTTTTTTTGTCATTTTTATGTGCTTTCCAGCTCTAAAAGCTCCTGCTTCCATAGACGCCATTTAAAAATGTGTTTTGAATCTTTTTGCTGTCATTCTCTACACAGCTGCAAGGAAGAATGTACTTATCTCTTCACTTGAATCAAAATGTGATGACAATATAATATGACATATGACAAGTAGTCAATAATATTGACTAGTTAAAAAGTAATTTTATTGTACATTAGTTCCGTTCGTAGCACTATGCTTTGTTTCATGGAAAGACATTTAGAGAAATATTTTGAGTTTGCATTTTTTTATTACTCATCAGCTACAAGAGCTAGAATATTAAAAATAAGGCTAACATATCAATTCATCAGAAATAATAATCTCCTTTTGTAATACAAATAGAAAATCTGCAGGAGGGGCCTTTGTGCCAAATAAATACTTATGTCTTTGATCATCTAAGAAATTCACTTACTTTAATGGCGGGCAGGCTTCCTTCATCACTAGACTTTTCAAGCTTGATTCACAGTTTTTAAAACAAGTAGTGTTCACACCCTTTACTTCCTCTGCCGTCTCTCAGTGTAAATATGCCCCCTAGTGGTTTGTGATAAGATAACAAACATTCTGCAGTTTGTGACTTTGACTGTATTTTTGTACCTATAGATGTTTCTGCTGCTCAAGATGTGTGTTTATGTCTTTTTTGCTTCACTTTCTGTGTGCCTTTATACATGACTTTGTGATTAACTTGTCAGTTGCCCAAGCATATGAGCAACCTGTCTTGTTCTCACTTTATCTCCACGGTTGGCACTTCTGTTCTCTGTTTTCTCTATCTCTTGTTTCCTCCTTTTTTCTCCTGTCTGTCTGTCTCCCCTCTCTCGTTCAGAGAGAGCGGCGGGACTGTGCTGCCGTTTGATTGGCAGTTGTAAGCGGGGCATGCCTAAGCTGGCTGACTTATCGGTGAAGACCAAGGATATGTGGGAGATTCCCCGTGAATCCTTGCAGCTGATTAAGAAACTTGGCAACGGCCAGTTTGGAGAAGTCTGGATGGGTAGGACGTATGGTGTTTTGTTGCAGTGGGGGCAAGGTGACATCTGTAGCACACCTGGATGAAAAAGTATTAAAACATGAGCAGGTTCATTTAATTCTTGGTTGTTTTCAGTTGACAAGGACATCAGTAAACACACACACTGTAAAGCCCTGTTTATCTGCCTGGGTTTGTCTACCTGTGAGAAATACATCTAAAGGATAGGACTACACAAATTAATACAACACACACAAAAGTGATACATGGTGTGTGGAGTAGAAACTGCAGCAGTGAAACAAATCCTTAATAAATCCCTGTATGTGATAACAATTACACAGAGACAGCATCTTATGAATAAAAATGTTTCTTTATTTTACATCCAGCTGTGCAGAGTTGAGCCCCTCTCCCCTGTTGTTGCATGTGCATGTTTCATCATCTCACCTCACCTCTTTGTCACCCCCCCCTCCTCCCCACCCATCTTTCCTTCATCTTTCAACTCACCACCTCACCTCTTTATCCCATTCTTCACCACCCACTTCCAATCTTTCCTTCCTCTACATTTCCTCTGATCCACCTCCTCCCTGTTAGGCAGCAATGACGGGCTGTGTTATTTCTTGACCGAGCCCTGTCCCAACTCTATCCCGCTCACCATGGGCCTTGGGCGGGACGCCTGGGAGGTACCTCGAGAGGCACTGTCCATGCAAACCAAGCTGGGACATGGCTGCTTCGGGGACGTTTGGATGGGTGAGAAAGACAACCTCTGAAGTCCTCTATTGGCTTAGAGGGAGAACTGTTCGTCCGGTATAAAACTGTATCATTTATTATTCCTAAGCACAGACTGTTGGTGATAATGAATGTCTGGCTGTGGTTGATCATTTGTGTCAGTATTTGAAGGTAAAGTTTGTTGTTTTCCCAGTCTGGCTTGGCATTCCCACATGATGTTGTCCAGTAACATTCCTGATAGGATCAAATTAAGATCATCCTACAGTTTCTCTCACCAAAACTAAGCATTATAACACTTTTAATTTTGCTCTGTAAAATCAATTCATTTCTCTTTGAAAGCGGTTTTGTTACTTTCTCTGGCTATAGAATGGCTTTAAAAACATTTAAAAGAATATATTACATTTTTAGAGATTCAAAATGTACCACATTTGTTTTTTCCTCGTAAATGAAGACTCCCCAAGGCCACATCTTGATATTTATCAAGGATAGACCCTCTTATATTTATTCATAATTTTTAACTAATTTTTTTCCAGTTTCAGAGATGACTAAGGAAAAACGGCCTCTCAATAATTAAAAACCAGACATTGGGTTTTTGAGCCATACAGAGTTTCTACCAGAAGCCTCAAAGCTTTGTGTGTGTCTGTATAACTCAGGGTTAAGTTAACGAAAGACCAGTACACCTCCCTCCCGTCCTCTCTACCTCTAACATCACCTGTCTCATGTCATGCATGCTCCCAGAAGTATCTATCACCTGCATGCATCAGAACTTTGATCCCACATATCTCATCACCTACATATTGTTTGATGTCCGAGTGTTTGTTTGTCGTACATGTATGTTTAAAAAGCTATCAGAAATAGTTTTGTCTTGTGCAGTGGGTCTCTGTTTCCACTCACATCCCCTTGTCTGTATGCCAGGAATGTGGAACGGTACCACCAAGGTAGCAGTGAAGACTCTGAAGCCAGGGACTATGTCCCCTGAGGCCTTCCTGGAGGAGGCTCAGATCATGAAGAGACTCCGCCATGACAAGCTGGTGCAGCTCTACGCCGTCGTGTCTGAGGAGCCTATCTACATTATCACTGAGTTCATGAGTCAAGGTAGCAGGCTGATTACACTGCCATGCCTGTAATACACTGTAGATACAGTATGAATCAACACCTATTGTTGGCAAACTGTAAACCATTTCCTGCCCACTAAGGAGAATAAAAGGAGACAAAAAACTTAAAGAGACATTTAAAAATCAAGATATTTGGGGCGCCGGTGGACTAGTGGTTATTTTGTGCGCCCCCTGTACATAGGAAACAGTCATCAAAGTGGCAGCCACGGTTTATTTCTGGCCCATGGCTCCTGTGCTGTGTCTCATTCCCCACTCTCTTATTAATAAAGGCACATGCAAATTGCCTGAAGAAAAAATAAATAAAGATATTTATCTCAAAATTTAAATTGTGTTGCGATGATTTGGGAGACATTTTATAATTTGGAAGACCAGAGTTCAGGCCCATGTGTCTCCCTGCAGGGCAAAGCTCTGTATTATTTCTAATTCTAAAGATGATTTTTCTTCCTCTGAGCATGACCTTTGACCTTGGTGTGAAGATGGCCAGAGGGCAGGTGAAACCTTTAAAAAGCCACTAAATATTAAAAGAAAGCTGATAAAAGTTAGCATGTAGTTGTATGTAGAAAAACTAAAGTGTATCGTTTGTATGAATTTGCAAGCATATCTCAAGCATTATTACAAGCATAATAATTGTATCTAATATACCGTATGTACACACCTTTATACAGCAAAAATGAATTAGCTCCTGGAGGCATTAGGGACCAATCATGATGCAACCCTCTTTTTTTTCAGGAAGTTTGTTGGACTTCTTAAAAGATGGTGAGGGTCAGAGTCTGAAGCTGCCTCAGCTGGTGGACATGGCTGCACAGGTGAGTTAAACACAAACACATAAATACAGACACACAATGAGAGAATTGATTAGTCTGTCTGAGCCTTTTCAATCTCAATGTTTTCATAGATCGCAGCTGGAATGGCATACATCGAGAGGATGAACTACATCCATCGTGACCTGCGAGCAGCTAACATCCTTGTTGGAGACAATCTGGTGTGCAAGATCGCTGACTTTGGCCTGGCTCGACTCATTGAAGACAACGAATACACAGCCAGACAAGGTAACAGCATGTTATATTAAGTAAGTGTGTGTGTGTGTGTGTGTGTGTGTGTGTGTGTGGTGTGTGTGTGTGTGGTATGTGTGTGTATGCATATCAGAGAGAGCAAAGAGGAGAACTACGCTTGCACAAAGTGATGATTAAGAGTGTCTGCCTCTGCCTCCATGCCTATATTTTTATACATAACCTATCCTAATTATATGATTATACGTCTTCACTGTGTTTCCATGGTTTCAGGGGCCAAGTTTCCCATCAAGTGGACGGCTCCAGAAGCAGCGCTGTACGGGCGCTTTACCATCAAGTCAGATGTGTGGAGCTTTGGCATCCTGTTAACTGAGCTCATCACTAAGGGACGGGTGCCATACCCAGGTACTGTGTGATATCTGCTGGTTTAGTTTTTCTTTTTCATCTCCCACAGTAAGAGGCTGATCATCCTGTGCAGTGAAAAGTCTCTTTTTTTGACTTAACTTAAGTCAAATAAAGCAATAGATATACCACATTTATCATATGAAAACATGTGTTGAAAATTAAATACTTTACTTAATAGAAAATACACATGAAAAACACTACTAAACACATTAAAAACGGTTGCCAGTTTTGAGCTGTTTTATATGTTTCTAAAGCAAAAAGTGTAGCAGTTTGCTTAAACGTCTCCTTATGTGCACACAAACCCACAGACTCTGCTATTAGAAAAAATGCCCTTTCTTACTCAGTTAACATAAATGAACGGCTGTCAATTGCTGCGCAATTAATAACAATTTCCACTGTTATCTCAACATCAGCATTTGAAATAAACACATCACAAAAGTATGAATTTATCGGAGTACATCAGAAGAATTAGTTCATACATGCAATGCGCGCTCACTCAGCATAGGTACAATTTAACTATTGGAAGGAGTCCTGCTGTAATGGTTGTGTTTATACCGTTTTGATGCAGTTGAATGAAGCACATTACAGCTACAAGCTTCTCTTCTATTATGTGGTAACAATTTATGTGTAAAAAAAACAAAACAGAAGCTTTTTGGATTCAGTAGGGAAATGTTCCAGACACAGGTATCTTGTACAACATGAAGAACAGCAGATAGATATACAAACTGTGAATTTTAGCTAATGCACTCTTTAATTTTGTTTTATTTATCACACTGAAATCATTATTGCAATATTAAACAATGTAATTGCAGGCAGAACATTGATTCTTTATACACATTAAAAAGTGTTAGTAGTAGTCTGCCACGGGGGCGCACATTGCTCCCCTCCACAGCAGCTTCCGCCAACTCTGTGAGAATGCTATTAACACATCTCCATTACACATGAATCAAACAAAAGCTTTAGATTAAAGTCGACAAAATGTTCCTCCCTCAATACTTAAAAAAAATATTATATTTAGATTTGGCATTGGGCTTTTTGTGCCTTTATTGGTGAGATAGGACAGTGGATAGAACTGGAAATCAGGAAGAGAGCGAGAGAGTGGGGAAGTACATGCGGGAAGGGAGCCACAGGTTGTACTCGAACCTGGGCCGCCCGCTTGGAGGACCTCAGCCTCCATACATGGGGCGAGCGCACTAACCACTGTGCCACCAGTGACCCCCCCCCCCCAATACTTTTTGACGTCACACATTTTAAAAGGATACAGTCTCCTTCCTTTTAACTATCGTCACAGTTGAAAAGAACTGAAGCTTGTTTTTGTTCAATTTAGACAGTGTGAAGGAGTTTACCTGCTATATTTACTAATTAAAAACAATTTTAACCTATGACTTCTATTTATGACGTTGTGGTGTTGAAACAGGTTTTAGAATATCTGAAAAAAAAAAAATATATATAGTATCACATTAAAGTTCTGAAAAAAAAAAGAAAAAAAAAAATCTATTTCAGGCCCTAATGGCTCATTTCTCCACTGGGGCCCTGGGTAGTTTGCCCCACCTTTCCTCCCATCAATACACCCATGGTTGACAGATTAAAAGGAAGCATGGTGAGATTTTTTCTTAGAGAATAATACACAGGAATAAAGAACAGGACCAGTGTGACATAAATCCCCTTCTGTCCACAGGGTGTGCCAAAATCAACACACAATAAAAGTTCCTTCTTTGATACATTTCTTGCATACTATAAAACGTGTATATTTGCAGTATGTCAGCTAAATGTCATCTTTGCATTGTGTTGCGAGTTAACCTTAGTATTCTTACTACTCTTGATTATGTTTTCCTCTCTTGTTTTTCTCTTGTCTCTATATTCATTAGAAGTGTTTTTATTTATTTATTTATTTTTAATGTGTTTTTATCCTCTTCTCCTCTCCTGCGCCCACATCCGGCTCCCCCTCTCTCCTCCCTCTAGGCATGAACAACCGTGAAGTTCTGGAGCAGGTGGAGAGGGGATACCGGATGCCCTGTGCCCCAGGGTCCCCCGCCTCGCTCCATGAACTGATGGTGCAGTGCTGGAGGCGGGAGGCCGACGAAAGGCATACATTTGAGTACCTGCAGTCCTTCTTGGAAGATTACTTCACTGCCACAGAGCCGCAGTATCAACCGGGAGAAAACCTGTGACCACACAAACACACACAGGGGACAAATATGGAGCAATAAATGGACAAACACACACACACACACACACACACACACACACACACACACACACACACACACACACTCACACCAACAGTACGCATATATAATACATATCATTGCATTGTTTGATTGTGTAGATGCAGTTTCCCTTCTTTTGGTCTTCATACTCTGCAGTCCATTCAGGACACATCACTCAACCATCATGAAGAGCAGAGTTGGAGCTCTGCTCATCAGGCCTTGCAGTAATGTTGCTTTACTCTGTAACCATGACAACAAGGAACTGAAAGAAGATGTAGATGGTTGTGTTGAGGTGGGGGGGAAGTCAGATTGGAACATGATGTGATCAGCTGCCATGTATGTTCAGATCCTTTGATATGTGTGTCTGAGAAAATGAATGTTGTAAGCAGACGTTTTACCTAAAACTGTTGATACCAACGTAAAAGAGAGTGCAACAGATTTCAGATCTAACTATAACATCTTTGAGAGAGAGTCAAAATGAACCTGGTGAAACTGCATGGTAACTGAGCAGATTATGCACACAGACACATCAGTCATCTTAAATGAGGACTAATTTCAAACAATGCACCAACCTGTGCCTAAATGTGGTCAAAGGAAAGGCTATTTTAGGTTTAAAATACATTTAAAACTTAGTATAGTCTGAGAGATTGTAAGAAATGCTCTTTTTATGTTAATATAAATTTTGTATGAACTGTCTCTGTTGTTATAATTTAACTCAGACATATCTGAGCATCACAAAACTTCTTTATCTAGTTAACATGTATAGGCCTACAGTTTTCATTCATTGGGAGGGCAGGGATATATGTTTAAGACAAAGGGGAAGATCAGTGTCAGTAGATTTTGGAAAAAGTGTTTTACATATATGTGTGACCTTTGAGTTGAGATTCCCCTGTCATGGTATTGTAATAAAGATATCTTTTCTGGGTAATGACTTCCTCTGTTTTAATTGTATTTGAACATGTATGTCGTTTTCCTTCTGTGTTATGTCAGAAACGAGCACCTTCACATGCAGACTTGCCTCAAATACAGGAATGAATAACAATTTATTTCAGTCTAAAATGTATTTTTGACTTGGATGACCAAATATTTCTATCTATAAATTGCCCATTTTACTTTACGGCATTAACGTTTTTAAGATAAACAAAATAAATAGAAATATGTATCCCTTGAAGCAATTAATTTGAATTGAATGTCTCAATAGGAAATGCATGAGACCTGGCTTACAGTTTTACCACTTTTAGCTTTTAAATTATACAATTACGTATTCTATTTTATTCATGGGCGATGGCTGGTACCAGAAAAAAAGTATTTCGAAATGTCTCTCTCTCTCTTTCTCTTTCTCTCTCTCAAGCTCGTTCTTTCAGTCTTCAGTAAACTACTGTTCCCATAATTCCAGAGGTGTGAAGTGAGGCCAACTACGGGTGCCTGAATGGACTGTTAGGCACATTGGTGAGGCTCAGTGGAGACAGGGGCGCACAACAGACAGAGAGCTGGAATTGCAGAGGCAGAGACGCACGGGCGCACGGTCGACATACTGGGGAGTCCCGTGCCTGTCACAAAAAACAGAGCACAGTGCTCGAGCGCGGCTGTCAGCGCATGAATTGCGGAAAAGACTGAGAACCAATCTCTCTTCTACACATTTTGTCCATTTTCCCATGCCTTTGTGTTTTTGCTTTCCCATCTTTGTTGGTGCAGATATTGCTGTGAGCCAGAGGATCGGTTTCCGTTGAACTGCACGAGACGGTGGCGCGCGACGGCAGGAGACAGCGTTTACATTGATGTGGGAGGACTGTCTCCCTCCGACGCGGGAAGCCCATATGAAGGGGGAATGCTGCTGGCTGACGGCTGCAGCCGTCAAGGCAAATGCTCCGTGACCCGCGCAAGAAGAGGAGCAAAGCACCACCACCGACAGCCGCAAGAGCTCGCAGCACCGCCAGCCAGCGTTGACACCGCAACAGCTCCAGCAAACAGCGCGAGCCCTCAGACTCTCTTTCTCCCGTGGTGAGTGCGCGTGCAGCGTCTTATGTACACAACACCCAAAAATTGCTTAGGCTACTGTCCGCTCAGCCAGCTGTGCTGCGCACCTCTGGCTACGTATCTTTCTGAGTGTTTCACATTAACCTCGTCACTGCCAATGACGGACGGAGCTCTGCAATTACACAGCTCGTGCTGCTGGGTCATTTGGGCTTTAGTGTTGGTATGTGTGTGTGGGGAAATATTCAATGATGATGCTTTAACTCATACTAACACACAGGGTGTGATTGAATGCGCACACATTGAACTCCACGTTCCCCCACCTGTTTTCCCCATTTCTCATAAATTAGCCTTATTTGCCTCAATTTTTAAACTGTGTAATCAGGGCAACATTATACAGTAGTGCCCCAGGTAATGTCACACTTATGGCACATAAACAAACACACACACACATATATATATATAGGCTATATATATATATATATATATATATATATATATATATATATTATTGTGTTGTCTTGTTTGTTTGCTGCCTTCATAGACTGTGGGTGAGTTTGACTGGACTTTTCAGATACTGAATTCAAATAGGACACATACCAGTGGTTTGACTGTGCGCCCAGCTTCTGATGATGGACAGATGTTTGCTTAACATATAAACAGGAGAAAGTGAGAGCCCTGTTGGGGGGGGGGGGGGGGGGTTCTGTCAGGGTAGTTTTAAGCAGGACACAGCAGCAGCAGCTCATCCTGCAGTGGCAACTGGGCCGGTGTGCTGAGAAGACACGACGTACTCATGGTGGTGATTATCAGCTCTTGTCTGTGCTTAGTGGGGAGGAGGAGGAAAAGGGGGAGGAAGGAGGAAGGGGCGGCGGGTACAGAAAGAGAATGAGTGCATGAGAAGGGGAAGGGGAGAGTATGAGAGAGAGAGAGGAGTCAATGTCGATGTCTGGGAAGTGACAGTTCTTTATTTAAGGACCCCTCAGAGACGTGCACAGGCTGCCCCAGTGCAGGTGCAGTTAGTATGCAGAGAGATGCTCTGTCTGTCTGTCTGTCTGTCTCCCACTCACACTGTCTCACTCTTTCAGACGCTGCTCAAAGAGTTCTCTCGTTGGACATAATGAATAATTTCCACCCTCTGAGTACTGGAATGAAAAGGAAATTGCGTTACTTTGGCATGCTGCTGCTGTCAATCAGACCTGTGTTCAGTGTATGGCCCTGTGTGTGTGTGTGTGTGCGTGTGTGTGTGTGACAGAGAGAATGTGAACATGTAACAGCTCAGGCCTATTGTGCTTCCTACCTGTGTGAGCGGGGCTAGTTGTCATGGTAACGGCCTTGTAGCTCCGTTGATGTTCCTGCTGTCCTCATTGGCAGGGTCAGTGCACCTAACACACCGTATCTCGTCTCAAAGCTCTGTGAATGTGCATGTGTTTGAGTGTGTATGTGTGTGTATTCATGCACATGTGTACTTCCAAGTATGTGTGTATGTGGGTGCTGTCGAAATACCTTTTGTTTGTACCTTGCTGCAGTTAGTAGGCGTGTGGTGTGTTGATGGCACAGACAAGCCAGAGTGTGTGCATGTGTGTGTGTTTGTGTTGCAGTGTCACAAAGATACACCCTGCTGATGTGACAGCCGACAGCACAACCAATCACCTGTTTCCTCCATCGGCCTATCAGCATGCGAGGTTGCCATAGTCAGACGTCCTCTTGATATGGAGGTCGTCATGGAGATTGAGAAGACAGAAATGGACACATTTATCCATGTATACACGCGCACACACACACACACACACATTTGAGAGATCAATCAGTGCAGTGTATTTACAGATTTTCTTATGTTTTGGAAAGTTTTGATGGTGATGCAACCTGTTGAATGGTTGAATGTAGGTCTGGGGGAGTGGCAGTTTAATAAGAAGAAATTCCAAAAGGGATGTAGCTTGAAGCCCTTTGTAGTTTTTGCCCCTAATATTTTTACCTTCATCTACTGACCACTGAAATACTAACACCAGTCAGAGCTTCAAAAACTAAGTACAATGGGATATTCTATCAGAAATAGTCTGTCTACAACGCCATCACAGAAGCAGATATTTAATTCCATAAGTTAAGCTTTCAGCTGTGCACAAGATTTGCTGAGATTTCTTTTTTTTTTGTTACAGATAATCTTTGAAGTTATCTGAAGATCATTCTGGCTCTCCCCTTTGAACTTCTCAATATAAAACTGGCATGCATTAAGAGGGAATTTACACCAGTAATATGAATGAGTCAGGCCATTATTAGTAAGCACCTCAAATGCCTCCCAAAATACATGAGACATTCATTGTAAGGCAGAGACTTGCATAAAAAATCCCATTCACATGGTCTCGTCTTAATTAATCCAATCGTCACCTGGAATGAAATGTAGCGTTTGACACAGGTAAGAGTAGTTAACTCCCCCCCAACACACACACATGCACACACACTCACCCCGACACATTCAAACACACACACCGATTCACCCACACACACATAGTTTCCTTTTAACATTAGTGTAACCAGTGTTTGTATGCTCCATTCTGTCACCTCCCACACGTTACATTCATAAAAGCACCTCCGCACCAAAGCCACTGACTCAATAGAAGACATCTCCCCTTCTCTTGTTCTCACCATCCCCCCCATTCCCCCCTCATGTATCTGCCCCTGCTCTCCATCCTTCCCTCCTTTTCTATACGTCCATCTTCACCTTCCCTCCTCATTCTTCTTGTCTCCCTCACGCCACCACCTCCATCCCCCATAGAGTGCCGGTTGCAGCCGGTTTGAGTCTGACAGTAGAGAGGAAGCGTCGACCTCTCACCTCCAGAGGATAGCGAGAGAGAGGGATGATGGAGGGCAGTGTGGAGGGGTGGGGGTGGGGGTGGTGGGGGGTTGAGGTTGGAGTAGGTGGGGAGGGGGGTGGAATTGCAAGAGGCGAGGGAGAGGTCAAAGAACAGGAGGGATTTGTGAAGGAGGGAGAGGAGGAGGAGAGCTGGGGGGGGGGAGGGACCAAGAGAGAAGAGACAGCGAGGGAGAGAGAGAGAGAGGACGGAGGGGTCAGGGAGGAGAAGGGATGATGAATGAAAGGAGAGCTGCAAAGATGGATGGATGAAGGAGGGAGAGATGGAGCGTGTGAGAGGATGAGGAGGAGAGGAAGACAGAGTGTGAAGCTGCTGTGTACCTCCCTAACAAGCTGGACAGAATCAGCTCAATTATTAAAGAGGAGCGAGAGATGGGGAAAACATGCAGACGCGCACATACACACACGCACACAAAAGCATTTTTTCAGTCTGGCACACAACACACACACTTTCTATAGATCAACATACTAACACATGTACAGTACGTCTGATTTCTTATCCTTGTGTGTCAGCGTGTTGTTTTTAGCACTGAGCAAATGTGAGTACACATGTGTCTGGGTATGTGTGTTAAAAACAGTGAGTCAGAGGATAAGCAGAGGCTTGTTAGTGATTCTCCTCAGCCCCCCCAACACACGCACTCCTCAATTTGGCTTCATCTCAATGTTTCACCAGTGTGGCTTCAATGTCGTCCCATCAATATGAACAGATAATCAGAGCACTGAGGGGTCTGTCTATAAATCCAGCTGCTAATATAGTTCTCAACTTCTTCCCTTCCTCCTTCTCTCGCTCTTGCTCCCTTCATCCTCCTCCTTCCTTTTCTTCCTCTCCTGTCTGTTCCACCCTTGTTTCTGGTTCTCCTTTTTCTTCCCTTTTTTCCCCTTCTTCTCTGAGGAAGTGTATGCCCCCAAGGGACGAAAAGATTTGCTACCTTCCAGGAGAGAAAGAGATTGTGCGTGTGCTTGTGTGAGTGTGTGCGTGCAGGAATGATAGTGTGTGTGTGTGTGTGTGTGTTAGAGTGAGAACACACACTTCCTGAGACAGGGAGGGAAAAGAGAGAGATAGGCAAGGGATGAGCAAGTGAGGAGCAAGT